TCTATATAAATGATCCTGTCTCATGCCGCCTTCAAGCGTTCTCTGGAACTGTGAGATATGTGTATGACTTACCAGAATCAAAGCGTTCATGGTGTGGTGACGCACACACACGCACACACACACACGCGCACACACACAGTGATATGAGAAGTATAGGAGCAAACATGTAGTTTCTTGGTTAAAACAAATAAAAGCGCTTAGTCATATTTTTGCAACAATTTGGAGTCTTAAATTGAGCTTTGGTTTAAAATCTCTCTCATTTTGTCTCTATTCTCTCTTCCAATCACAATATGACATTTATCACAATAACGCCAACTCCGGGACCATTGACCCAGTCTGAGTTTCAATGTGTTTTTCCGAGTGGGAGTTTGGAAATGTAAAACCACATCTGTCCTGGAATAGTATGACCTCACTGTACCACTATGACATCAAACACATCACACTTTCTGCCTATTAAAACAAAAGTATTGCTCCTAAATTAGTTTTGTCAATTACCATGCCTGTGTTTGCAACTGGCACTTCCAAATTTGAAAAAAAGAAAGAAAAAAGAAAAGTTCAACAGGCAGATAGCATCTTGTTTTACATTCTAAAACCTGAAAAACCAAAATAGTTCCATTATAATTGTATAATGCAGTTATATTTTTCTTTAAAATTACTACTTTACTACTTGTTGCAGTAACTCAACTTCACTATTGAATCCCAGAAAAGATGTTAGACTCATTCTACTCTCTGAGCTTGAGGTTTTGTTATCAGAATAAAGTCATAATTGTCCAAAACAGTTTGTTTGCATTCAGTTACAGTACATATTCCAATTACTAATTTACCGTAACTCCGAAAACATTCCTCTTCCTTTTGATAATATTCAGAGTACAGTCACTGTTTAATAAAGAACACATTGCAGTATTTGAGTTACATTTGGGCCAGATAATAAAAAAAAGAAAGGCTTTAAGGTTTCTTCTAACCGAAAAATCCGACAAAGCTGTTTTAACGCGGCCTCATTACACTATCTTTCTGTAACTAAAGACAATTTTGAGATATTCGTCCCAAAACTGCTTGTATCTGTAATGTACTATAAAAATCTAAGTTTCCGAGGTTCCGTCGACCAAGCGATTGTTCATTGGTGATGCGAACGTTTTCCTCAGGCAGATAGAGGTTATGTTTTTCTACCAGTATACCTAATAATAATAACTACTAAGATCATTCAGATGTCGCAGATCCATCCATGTCATCACAGACTGGGAAAAGAGTTTGTGGTCAATAGATCTCGACACTTCTCTAATGTAAAAGATTCTCATTTATTTTCAGTCATTATGATCCCCATAACTCCACAAATACAGAAATCAACACATACAGCACATTACAGCATGTTTCACACCTTCCTTAAATGTTTTCCCAGTGAGGCAAACTCCAAGTGTTAAAGGCCTCATAAAATGGTTGAATAATAATCTTCCTTAGGAGCTGCCATTCTCGCCCCTGCACCTTTCAAAGAGCAGGATTCCAGTTAGGTACATGTGGTTGTAATTTTGTGGCTGATAATCTTCCCCCAGGGACTCCAGAAAGCCCCCTCGCCATGTGTACCCCTATCTACCCAGCTCATAAAAGTGCCCAGGCCCTGCATAACAGAGCATAGGAGACAAAACAGGGATCAGCCACATTGTGTTGATGGTAGAACTAGTGTTATCCCGAATTCCCCTTTAGTCACTTCGTCCATGAGGTCCAAGCCCGAGGCATATAGTGACACGGAAAAAATGTGTAGTATAGCTAAACAGTATGGTAAAGCATAATGTCTGGAAATGGTCTGGTAGTCGTCATGTCCCATACATTTTACATTAGTTACTGTAAAGATATGTCATTAATATTTTCATACAGAGTTGAGAGGTTGCCCTTCTCTGACGTGTTAACAGAAAACTCATTCATGGACTTTGATTTAAATTGTAGATCACTCCAGCAAGGGTCCAGAGTTATTATTCTGATGGCTGCGCAAACTGAAAACATGTTTAAACAAAGTCCAAGTTTAGAGAGGAGTAACAAAATAAGACAATAAGTGTTTATTTTTTTACATTTTATTTAAAATACGGTGTGGAGTTTACCATTGGAAGTTACCATCACAAACATGATTGTTTCTAATAAAAAAAGTAAACAAAACAAAAATAAAGCTTAAGAGCCTAGTTACAGGAGTTTTTTTTGTCTTTTTTAAATTTAGTTTTTGCAGTCTGGTGAAAGAAAAAAAAAAAAAAAAAATCAATTCACAATGAGAGTGAGTGAAAAAAAAACATGTTCACATGTTGTAAAAATACATTTCCCAATTTTAACATCACGCACGGTTCACATTCAGATGCTCATTCATCCGTTGGTTAGAAGGTTAGAAGTCAGTGCCAAAAGAAACGCGAACAAGGTCAGGGAGGGTTTGGAGGACAGCAGGGCGGGGCCAGGGCTGGACTGCTGGAGGATATGTGTGCATTTGACCCTGAGAAATAGTGACCGGTTCACACCAAATTTATTGTTATATTTGACAGAGCTCACCAGTGTCCCTCCCTCCCTCTCGCCCCCACCAGCAGCTAAAAGGAGCTTTAAGAGCGGCAGAGTCGTCGGCCGAGAAGGGAAATTTCACACTTGAGAGTGAAATATTAACGGTGGCTTTGTAACCGTATGTGCTTTATCCACTAGCTTGCACATATACAAACACTGCCAGGGTGAAACAATAGAATCACTGAACATTTAAATGAAGGTCAAATGTTTGAAAAAAAAAAAAAAAAGGTGCACAATATTTAGGGAGGAAATTGGGAAACGACATGATCCTGGCTCGCCTCTTTTCCGACTCGTCTTACTGTGGTCAACTGTATTAAGGCAGTGAGTGGTTCCATGGCAACTTTAAAACAGCTACTTTAAGGGAAAGACAAAGTAAGGCCCACGATATTGACAAGGAATACGATTTCTTAAAAATATATCAAAGGGGAAATGGGGTAATCGCGCTGAAATGTTTCAGTACAACATGTAGAACACACAAGCATATCAATAAAATAACATTAAAACAAATGTATTTTTAACAGTGCACTGTTGAACTGAAAAGTAGAAATCATCCGCGTCAACAGCAACAATTTAAGATAACTTTATGCGCATAGACTTGAACTATGGGGGTACTTTTTAAAAAATATATACTCATCACATGACGGAGGACGCAGACATGCTCCACGCCTCCCATAGACTCTGAGGAGAAAACTGTACATCACTGGAAACTGACCACCACAAAATGGTTCAGGGGTAAAGAGGGCTGGAGGAAAACAGCAAGATGACAACATTTTTTTAGCCAACAGCGTTTTTTTCCCTCTAAAGAATTACCTCACATGCACTAGTTAGAGCAGCTTGACAATGAAAGGGGCTAAATATATATATATATATATATATATATTAAGAAAAAACGGGGGAAAGCATATCGGACCTATAACTACGGTTCTAGTAAAACAAGACGAGCAGAACACGATCTTTGCTTTGATGGAGACATCTACCACAGTCAGAAGTAATACGGGGTTTTTAAAGATCTGTGCTAAAAACTTTCCACAATGACAAATAAAAAGGGTAAAAAAGGCAAGAGGATACATATTGGTTTTGAAGCCTGAGTTTTTTTAGTGACCAAGAGTGAACCTACAAAGATTCCATCAATTCATTTCATTGGGGCGATGATGTTGCTTTATTTTAAATAATGAATCGTTACTGCTACAAGATCACAAACCTTCTGGTAAAGACTATTATTAAAGAAGTCATCTAGAAAATCTGTACAAAAAATAAAAGGGTATGCACGGTACATTCAATATCTGTTACTGAGGTACTAGAAGGTGTTCCCATGACACCAGGGCAACAGTGATAAAAACGGTTACTCCCAGGGACGTCCTTTGGAAAGACAACAGCTCGTCATCCTTGAAACGATTAAGGGAACAAAAGCGCGCACACAGAATCACACACACACACACAGCCATTGCCAATGAGAAGCCAGCATGCACAAATGTCCTATCAGTCACACAGGAGAAGATGGCAGATGCATGCTGGTGTGGTATGAGAGCTGACTATGACAAGGGGAGAAGTGGTGAGATCTTTAAATTACAAGGCCATGCTTTGATCCCTGGTCACCCGTCCTATTCATATTTTGTTTTCACAGGATAGCAGGGGAAGGACAGTATCGACAGCTCTCTTGTGAAAGCCAATGCTAAAACTTTACCCAACACAAAAGGACTGTGCCACACAATGAAAATAGTCAGAAGCTGGGCTTCTCCGACCATCCTGTAAAAAGAAGATCTGTCCTATTCCAAGACTGAAGCCATCAGTCTTAACAAAGTCCGACAGTGCCCTCTGCTGGTGAAGACCCCCCCACTTCAATTGCTCAGCTCTACAGAAAATGTGTGTTTGGGTGGTGCTTCAGCAATTCCAAATAAACATTGTGAGCTAAAGCAAAGATGACACTTGGAGAAATCACACAGGTAAGAACTTCATTAAGAAATGATGAAACATACTTGATTGTGGTCTATATCAGAGCAAGACCGTGCCAGGGAGAGCAGAGGGGCTTAAATTTCTTGGTGGTCATATTAGAAATCTGAATGACTTTCTGATAAACTCCCTGTCAAAAGGGTTTGAAGAAAAAAGCAGTAACAGGAATAACAACAGGGCCTTTAACCTCAACTGGTCTGAATGATGACTGGAGATGCACAGCCATATTCAAAACGCTTTCTTTTTCCAAAACAAACATTACAACTAGAACCACAATAGATTTCCATTAAAACAGCCAATAAGAAAATGAACCAGTCCTATCACCGAATCCTTGAGAAGAGTTATTGCTGACACTGTGGGCTTGTTTGGGGTGAGGGGGTGAGATGGGCGGCAGGACAGGTCACTTCCGGGCTCGTTGTGTGAGACGCAGTGAAGATCACATCAGGTGGCACTGGTGCCGTCAGTGTGTGGTGGGAGGGTTTTCCACAGCAGAAGGGAATGTGCTGGCGCTGGCGGAAGGGCTATTGGTCGGAGGGTATGTCTCTGTCTGCTTCGGCCTTGGTGGGTTGTCCCGGAGACGGGGCATGAGGGGGGTGGGTCACAGGGGTGATGCCGTGTGCCATCCCTGAAACCAGACTGTCCACCCCTGCTCCTGCCCCTGGCAGACCCCCTGCAGCAGCCACGTTAATCAGGCCTGGGGGAAATCTAAGACAAATTAAAGAAAGGTAAGTTATGACCAATTGAGAGCCCCCTGAAAAATGGCCAAGATTATTTTCTCACCTGTAGGATGCTCCGTTGAGCTCCGGATGAACGGTGGCAGCCTCCATGCTGGGCCACTGAGAAGCCGCCAAAAGATACTCTTTGTTCACACAGTTCTTTAGGCTGTCAGGGATGCGGCCTGAGGTGCACAACATTTACAGAATTAAAAGACTGCAAGGCTGTAAGATTTCCACCTTCAATAAATACACCAAATCATCCAATGCCATTTTAACTAAGACACTATAGTTGCAGAAGAAAGATGAACAACACATTTCCCCCAAATAACTGATCCTCAAAACTCCAGTAAGACATTGAACAGTCCCCAGTGTAGAACACTGGTCCAGGATCTATGGCCTGTCCGTCCGTGGGAGAGGAAAGCTCAATGTGGGCTGCGTTTTTTTTGGACAAATGGCCCCTATGTGTTTGTTACAATTAATATTTGGGATATTTTATCCTGATCTGCTTTTGGCAAATCAACAATGTTGGAAAGTCCTCCGAGACGACTGCTGTTGTTGATTTAGGGCTATACAAAAATAAATGTAATTGAATGGCGACTCACCGGTGATGGCACGTCGGACTTCTCTAGCAGCTTCTTCCCGGGCCTCAACTGAAGCCTGTTCGCTGTACCAGGATGTGTGCGGGGTACAGATAAGATTTGGGGCATCTTTCAGAGGACCTGTAGAAAAACTGCAAACACAAAAGTTGTCAGAAAAAAAACGTTACAACAATAAATCCCTGATTCAAGTCCCAATTGCCACCTGAAGGGTTCCGTCTCGTGGACGTCCAACGCGGCTCCTCGTATTCGGCCTTCTTTCAGTGCCTGAGCTAGCGCTTTCTCATCAACCAGACCTCCTCGGGAAGTGTTGACCAAAAAGGCCCCTTGACGCATCTGTGGAATTTCAACAGTTAAGCACCAAATGTGCCAAATAAAATCCTGGTATGTAATAGTCTGACTGAAAGCACCTGTTTGATGGTGAAGTCATTAATAAGATGGTGGTTGTGCTCGTTTAGGCTGCAGTGCAGAGACACACAGTCTGAGTGAATGAGCAGGTCTTGAAGGGTGGCCATACGCTGGAGGCCCAGAGAGCGTTCCACACCATCAGGCAGATATGGGTCATAAAAGATCACACCAAAACCAAAAGCCTTAGCCCGAAGAGCCACTGCCTGACCGACTCGTCCTGCAGCAAAAGAACATAATAAATTCAGTTCATTACTCTGATAATACCATTAAAATAATAGTGTAAAACTCACCTAATCCTATTATACCCAGAGTCTCTCCTCTAATGCGGGCCGCACCCCCTGCCACCTCACGGATCTGCTCCACACTGGAAGCCCGCGTGCCTTCCCTCAGCGCTTGGTGCATCCAAGTGACTCGTCTATACAAGTTCAGGATCAGACATAATGAAGTGTCTGCCGTTTCCTCGACCGACGACGCCGGAACGTTACAAACTGCAATGCCTACACACACCACAAGTATTAACACAGTTTACCCGTAATAAATGGTACTATTAAGCACCGCTTACCTAACTCCGCTGCTGCTTTCACATCAACATTATCAAATCCAGACCCTATACGCACAATAACTCTTAAACCTTTGAATTTTTCCAAGTCGTCTCTGGATAGAGTAATTGTGTGGTACAGCAATGCAGCGACTGCTTCATTTAACACCTAAAAAGGAAAAACTAGGTATTCATTTCACAATATATTTTAACAAGAGCTTCCATAAAGCTTGAAAAATACCTTCTCGTGTATTTCTTGTGTGGACTGGGCATCACAAAAGGCCACAGTAGCTACATCTTTGAGGATGGGCATCTCCACAGTGCAGTCGCGCCCATCGAGCAGCGCCACCAGTGGCCGAGGGTGCATCGGCCCATTGAGGATGGGAGGTCGGATTCCTAAGAATCACACAACTGTCAGAAAACTGATTCCAACCTACGTGTTAGGATAGGCGGGTAACAGAAACATTTGAGATCATGACAACTCATTTTAGAAAATATCAAACATTATGAGGATTAAGACTAATGTGATAAAAATATAACATGACTTGATTATGTAACAAATAATCATAACTAAAAGCATAATTGAAATGGGCTTAACAACTTACTTTAGTTCATACTAAAGGGTACAAAAGTGACAGAAGGCCAAATATATATATTATATATAATTATGTTTTCTTCTGTCCATTAGAAGTTGCTAGGAGATAACTTACATTAATGAAGTTTTCTATAGCAGCTGTTTGTAACAGACGTGATGCCTTTGATGGAATGGCGGTTTATTATATATTTTCAGATGTCCAGTTTTTTTGTACACAGCGTAGAAACAAAGTGATTACTTTTATATAGTGCACCAATTAAATGCGATACCAGACGATCATCTTTTTTTTACGTTTAATTTTTAGAAAGGATTGATAGAAATGATCACATACGTTGCACAAAAGGGTCACTTAAATTGTTATTGTTAATTAACCTCTTAACAACCGCCTCATTTTGGCTCGTGCACAATGGTTGGGCATACCCAAATGTCTTTGCTTATTTAAAAACACATCTTACATGCTTGTGTGATGCATCATTTTAAAGCTAGAGCCTTCTAGTTTATGTAAAAAAACACTAAAATAATGTTTGTCATTCCTATTTTCCTCTGCATCCTTTGAAGTTAGGGAAAAAAACCCAATTTTTTTAGCCTCGCCTAACATTTTCAATTTCTAAAGGCCCTAAAAAAGGCATACTTCATTGTAAGTTCACAATATTCAAACCCTCTGTTCATTGTGTTGTTGACAACAACTGTCTAAAGTTTCAGACTTGTAAGTTTTATAGTTTTTATGCAGTTTCTCTCCTTTTCATCAAGTAGTGCACATTTGGCACAATTTGGCACAAGTGTGCCAAATTGTGCCAAATATCTTTACTTACATTTAATCATCATAAAAACAATATTTTTCATTATTGGTACTTATAAGTTACTAATCTATGTGTGTTTTTCTTTTTTAAATGTCAAAGTTATTTTTTTATGAGTGTAAATTCATTGCAGCTTCGAGAGCGTCTTTTGGCTTCCATTACGCACAATTGTCCAGGCACAACATAAGACAGGACACCATTGTCCCACCCCTTGTTCGAAAGCTTTCCTCATTGGCTACAAGGACATGTCAATCGTAAATCCCGGAAGTAAAAGCAAACAAGTTGGGAGCACAACAAAGATCAGTCCTCCATGCGCAAACAGCAGCACGAGCGGTACTTGCGGGAGCTATTGCAGACCCAAAAATTGGTCTAGCTTTTCGGGAGTAGTCTCATTTGAAAGATAAGGAGCTAAGGAACACGTAGATACCAGATGTTTGGGTGAAAAACAAAGCTAAAAGTCCGTTAAAAGTGAAAGAGTAACATCTGTGCTCTTTTTTTTCGGTTTTTTCGCTAAAGATAAATGCACATTTTTGGATTATTTCTGCAGAATGGATTTTACTTTGGGAAATACAAGTGGATATAATTTTCCTTTGGACTGTTCCAGAGAGAATGATGTATTGCAAGCTGGGAGGAGAGCTGATTTATTTGTACAGCACAAGCCCAAAGGTAAAAAACTATTTCGGAATTGATTTATTTTGTGCCCACATTATGTGTTATATCTTTTGAATGCAAAGTCTGATGTAGTTTACACTTGTATATAAATGTAGATAAGAAAATAAGCTTTAAAATGATATACAGCTTTTGGGGTTTGGTGTTCAAAATACATCTGCTATTGCCAGCAGAACATTTAAAAACATAAAAACGGCCGCCGGCGCGCCGGTTGTTGCAAAGTGGTTAAATGTTGTTATTTTTAAAAATAATTCCTTAAATCAAGTGATTTACTAGTGTTGTGTTAGCCATGTTAATCTTGTGAGAGTTCATCTGCTACTTTTATTTTCTATGTAACCGAGTAACAGTTGACATTAAATCAGATGCTGATCTGATTTAACATGTAGCCAAGAATGTATTTGTCAATCTTCTCTTTTGATATTATCCACAATATCTTTGAAATCTTTTCTTCTAATCTATGACATGAATTTTAGTTTGAGTTATAACACTTTTAAGTCCAGATACTATAATTGACACTTTACTGTGAACACGCCCAAATCACAATATACATCATCCATCCATTTTCTACCCTTTAATCCATTTCTGGGTCAGGGGGGTGGCAGTCAGAGATGCCACCCAAGTCTCATAGCACCAGCCCCTCACTGACCCTCTGCAGGTGGTGAGTCCACAGGAGAACAGCTGCTCTCTGAGTGTGAGCATAGCCTTGATCTTTCAGTGGGGGCTTTGGGCAAAGTGGGGTTAAGTGTCTTGCCCAAGGACACAACGACAGCAGTCATCAGTGAGAGTCCACCAATATACATAAATTACAATGTAATTAAGGATTTTAAATTACATTTCCACCTCTGTTCATATCAAATATGGTCTTCATGCTGCATTCCAGGCAATGGATATTTTTCACCTCCCACAAAAAAATATGCCTCAGAATGCCACTCAAACTGGTATTACCCATTTGCCAACTGAGAGCTGATAGAGATGCTTCCAACTCAGATAAAAGTTACATTTTGACATTAACAAGGATAAATTGGTCAATCTCTGGGAGCTAAACTTATGTTTGCAGATAAGATAGACTTTACTGATTTCATCCAGGAGAAATTTACATGTCACATCTGGCATGGATAGAATCACTCAAGAAGAAGATCATTAGTGTAGAATGAGTAATATTGTTTAAACAAGTTCAATTGATAGAACTGGCACCTTTCAACTGGGAAATATCGCAGCAACAGTCTTATTTCAATAAAAACAAAACATCATGCTGGCCATATTGTGTTTGCAGGTGAATTTCCAATCAGAAAGAATGAGTTTTCCTGTACCACCAAGTTTTATTAAGTTTTTTGAAAACACAGTACACACAATACTAGTCTCTAGTTTTCTGTAAGAACAATGTTACATTTTGGAGGGTATGGGTAATGTTACAAAAGTTTGACACCTCGACAATGTCCCTTCTTGACTGTGAAAATACCTAAAGTTCCTGAGAGCAATGGAAGAATTGTGGTTTATGATGTGAATGCCAACTGTATGAGGAGCGCTCCAGCAGAAGGGGGTTGGGCCTGAGGAAGAGGTGATGCTGAGGACTGCGGGGGGAGGGGTGTAAAATACAGCGGGGTCCCAGCGAGGAGGTGGTGGGGGTTTGGGGGTTCGAGTACTGACCTAAATTCTCTGGTCTACGAAGCTTTCTTTTTACTAATTTGAATTCTGTCATGGGAAATTATTATTTCAGTGAAACCAATAATCAATGTAATGCGAATACTATTTTTTGGGAATAAATAACAAAAACCCTCCATGTGCACTATAAAAACATGGAGATTTTTTAAAATAGCCAAACACATTAGCCACATTATATGCAGAGCAGGTGTGTGCATTGCTGGCAAAGAGCAAAAGGTAATGGTGAAAGCATGTAGATAAGAGCCAGGGGAGTTTGTTGCTCACAGTGAAAAACAAAACGTGTTCACGGTTTCTCTGACAAACGACCATTTCCCAACACATGTGAAAAAAGCATGCAGCCCTATGAGTGAATGCCACATCTCGTACACTACAGTATCCACTCTATTAGCTTTGAGGCTAGGCTAAAATGAAGATGGCTGAAGAATGCTAGCAGGCTTCAAGCTTTAGTCAGCGGTATAAATGTACTCCTCACGAGGAAACAAACAATGATGTGGCCATTCACAAAGGCTCCAGTGAAAAAAAAAACTGCTGTGCACGAGTAGATCTACACTGGGTAATTTGAGAAAGGAACATGGGCCGAGCCGAAGCCTGCTACAAGCGAGCATGGTTGCCACACAATACAATTCATTCAGAGATTCATTCATTCTGCCTCCCTCTCCCTTTCTTTGCGTTGCTCCTTCTGGATGCAGTTTGAGGAGGGAGCGGTGAGGGGGAGGGGCAGCAAGCCATGATAATGCAGCAAGCAGCAGTACTCCACCCAGACACAGCTAGACACACACATACACAGTTCCTTCTAACAGTAGCTGCTAAAAAATAGGCCGCATGCGAGACACTGAAACTGATCACAGCAGCACCACACCCAGATCTACTCACTCTCCCTTCAAAGATCACCATATTCAAACACACACACAGACACAACAAAATAGAAAGCACATGAGTATGGGGCTAACCTTGCATTATGAAGTCTGTCAACCCGTCTTCCTCTCTCACTCACTAGCCTTGCTCTCCCTCTTTTGCTTGCTTTTCCCCCCACCCTCTCTCTCTCTGTGTCTCTCTCTCTCTGTCAGCTAGTTCCCAGCTGTCATCCACACCCAGACCCTCCCTCCTGAAAAGTGTCCAATCACAGACCATGTCTTTGTGGCCTGACCAACCAGCACTAACCTCCTTAGCATTCGAGTTGCTGTTGTTTTTTAAAGAGACAGCTGGCCCATTTCTCTGGAGCTCCGACCATGACCTATCACCCTGCCCTCTGCCTCTGGAGGATCTCCCAGACAAGTTCCCTCCATTTTAGAAGACAAGCATGTGCGATATCTGAAGTGTGATACATGCATTGCAGGACCCCCGTTTATGAAACCACGTGGTCTACGCACTGTTGTGCCACATTTAGGTCCTGTCATCAAATGATAACCTGCGGGTCCCAGGTTTGTTTGGGATGACAAAATATTAGCGATGTAATGCAGAGGACTCCATGAGAAAATTATTATAAATGGCAAACAAAATGAGGAATTTAAGTTTCAATTAAACTTATATTTGTGTAAGAAATTTACAGTTGGTTTTGAAAGTAATACAGCTTGAACATTTTTGTCATTTTAAAACCAAAGGGATTACGCAAACACCACAGCCAAGACAACAGACAACTGTGAAGTGAAGGCAAAATTATACATTACTATAATTATATAATAAATACAAATAATAAAAATACTGAAATGTGTACATCATAAGTAAATATGTTCAATCCAGAGCTCCAGCATACTGTATGTTGCTCCATCCACCTTCAAAATCAACCAAATCTTCCCTGACCCTGCTGAAGAAAAGCAAGCCTATTGCACTCTGCTACCACCCTCAAATATATTCGTCATACACTGACGTTGGTGCATGTCAATGAGCAGCTTTAGCTTTAAGCCAAAAACAAGTTTGTATTTTGGCCACGTTCAATTTTGTTTTCCTCCAACCTGCATCTTTGTTCTCATGTTAAAATTGTCTTCACTTTAGCTTCTTGGACAGATTTTTTATATACTAATATTTGTTCCCTGTAAATTCCCTCAGGTGATTTGAAGACGTCTGCTACTCTTACAGAGGAACCATTGGCCTTGTGTCTGCATCTGTGATCAGCGTCGTCCTTGTTAGATTTGTGAATTTGCACTAAACATCTCGAAATGATTAAGTGTTTATATGACCTTACTATGCTTTAAACTTCCTCCCTGACCTTTCTAAGGGGTTTCTTGGCTTTCATGATGCCCGTTTAAAGAATATTTAATGCAGCCAGAGAAATTATTTTACCTTCTACTGCAAAACCCCAATTGAGTTTGATTTTTTCTTTCACTTGACAGTTGTCTTTTGACAGACTGATCCAAAGTGCAATAAGTATTTGTATCTTAATACTTTCACAACCCACTGTAAATGCATTGAGAAACTATTTGACATATATTAAAGCAAGTTCCAAAAGGTTTATTTTTTATTTTTTAAATGCCCCTTTAAATATAACCAATAATCATGTGTTCCGATAAAAAATTTATGCAGCAAACAGTTTCAGACACATGAACAATCTTGTTCATGTTCTAGTTTGGGTTGCAGAAGCAGAGGCATTTTATAGTTACAGTGTTTTGTTATAAAACAGGAGGTATTCTAGCCTGGTCGTACCACACCATAGTACAAATTACAATTCGTACCAAGGTCTGGAGGTGCTCCATTGTGGGAGGGGTTAACTCCTTTTGCAGATTGAAACAATTGGATCTGATTTTACCGTCACGTATGTAATGCGCTTGAGTGAGTCGTTAGCATTTAGCCTAGCCATCTCCTTTGCCGTGAACGGAGCCCGTAGGGAGTAGCGCCACAATCTTTGCCAGCAATGACTTTTGCTAAACATTCCTCTTGCTCAATTTCTTGAGCAAAACCGGATTACTTTACCATCGCATTCTTCGCCATTGCCAAACTACAACCTGCCCGTTCGACGCAAACTCTTGACGTCACCCACATCTGAAGCTGCTTTCACACCACCAACACAGGGGTCTTCAGACCAGAAGTCCTGGCGCACGCCGGAAGTTGCCGGCGGATTTTGATGCTAAAAGAGTTCAGCTAGCGGCTTCTTGTGTAAAGTTCTTCTCCAATAATGCAGCTCTGCAGCGTCTCTGTGTTCAGAGACCTTCCACAGACTTTATATAACAGCAGTATGTGTTCAAGGAGGAGCGCCATACGTTTATCTTATTATTAAACGGTACTTCCGCATCGGCGCACACGCTCGAAGCAGTTGCATAAGGTCACGGGAGCATGAAAACGCATATGTTCACAAGCACCATGTCCCCCATTGTCAACCCTGGTTTAGTCCTGGTGTAGCTCCTGTTTTGGCTGTTTACGAGTATGTTCAGTCTGCTCGCTCAGACCGCTAATGTCCCCGTGACCACTTTGCAGCTCTCTGGTCGCTGCACGAGCGTCCGAGGAAAAGCTCAGCAAAATGTATCTCCTGCGTGCGTCAATTCTCCGCTCCTGCACCTCCTCTGCGACTTCGCCGCGCAGTCCATGCATGCATTCCGAAACGCACATGTATTTCGACACTCAAACTCGCGTCACCATTGACTTTGCATTGAAAGCCGGTCTGAACGCGGCATAACTACCCGCGGCATAACACCTGCGCTCGCTGATTGGGCGGATGGAATTCAACCGATTGTAATCGCAAACACAGGGACCAGACCCAGACGTTACATGCAGTGAAATGATGATTGAGCGGAGTGTACGGATGGCTATGGCCAGGCTAGAGGTATTCAGGACAATACTAATAAGGGAGGAAGCAGGCCAGAGGGGTGAAATGCAATACGTTCAAAGCGAAAAGGTTAGACTTGTCAGGTACAGCGACCAGTCTTTGACTGGACACAACACGACTGAATGAAAGAAAACGCTTTAAAACAGCGTATTAAACAATTACACAGTGAAGATACAAACATCAACTGATGAGACACAGCTAATATATTCAGCTAACTTAAGAGTTAGTACTAGCCCATTGACACTTTAATGACATATGGGTTTGTTTAATGTTAATGACAAAGTTTAAGCAGAGTTTAAGAAACTAAATGTCATGTATGGCGCAAAACTAACACGGCTCCTCACCCTGAATGTACAATCCTCAGTGTCAGATATTGTGAGGTGAGCCTCATGTTATGGGTCTGCTTTTCTTCAGCAGGAACAGGGAAAATTGTACACAATGATGGAGCCAAATACAGGGATATTTTGGAAGAAACATGAGTCTGCAAAATACTTTAGACTGATTTACTTTCCAGTAGTACAATGACCCTGAACATAAAGCCCACGTTGCACTGGAATGGTTTAAAACGCAGCCTATTCCTGAATTCAAATGGGCAAGGAACTGTGGAAAGATTTGAAAACTGCTCCTCACAAACGCTTGAAGAGCTTGATTTTTTTGATAAAAAAAGACAAATGAGAAGGACTTCAGTGTCTAGATGTGTAAACCTCGCATGCCAAAACACTTGCTATTGTGATTAAAGAGATATAGCCCCACTTTTCAGTAATTTTTGTTCTCATTGAAAATAAAAACTGAAATTGTTTTGTAATATAAAACAGCATTCAAAATAAAATACAGAAGACACTGAAGAAAGGACACTTGTCCGAGTTCGGTTACATGGTTATTTTCCCTGTACAAGCGAGTAGGTTGCAGTTGCACTAATAGGTTTTGCTTATCCTTTGCAAAAAAGGGCATATATATATATATATATATATATAAAAATGTGAGAGCACAATGTTGTGGGGTTCTGGGTTCAATATTGCGAGTCCTACAATATTCTTGTCCTTTAATCCCAAGACCGTACTCTGAGAAATTTCCATTACCATGGCAACAAGCAAGACATCCATGTTTAGCAGTCACAAACTCTGGAGCCTGATATAAAAAAAATCTCTAAACTCTGCTAGGATTGAATTTCCCACACATATAGGGAAGACAGACAAAGGGATTCATACCTTTAAAGCCTTATTTTGACTCATCGACTTCTAGTAAAACTAGTCATGGGACCAACAGATTTACTGCATTATCAGAATCCCTGGACACACCAAGCCATAATGCTAAGGAGAGAGCGAATGCAAGTCTGCAGTGTACAATGTGTAATTAAGTCCATGGTGAATGGTACACAATTTTACAATATTGATTTTGAAGTTCCTATACCATAGATGACGTGTGTCAGAATGTAGAAGGGCCTGGCTGTTAACACAATTTAAATACCTAATCTGTTAATAAATCATGTAATGTACAGTTATGAAGTTAACAGTTTGAGTGTCTTTTGGGCATATTTTTTATTACCAATTTCATGTTGTAGAGACCCAAAATTTAAGACATAGATTTGAATTTAAAGGAATTAGACTTCTCTTCAATTTAAATCGTGGACTTTGTGGTTTTATATGGAACAAACTCAAGTTGGCACTTGGATTTGACTCTAGGCCTGTAAATGACAACAATTTTAATAAATCAATTAGTTTTCTTTAAAACAAAATGTAATTGTTTAGCTTAAGAATGATGAGTGGCCCTACTAAACTCAAACAGAATGTGGCGCACTAGCAGTGTAGTATGTTAAATAAAACAAACTCTTTAAAGAGATATGTGAAAGATTAAAGCTGTGTTCTAGGCAAATTTAATGAATGATATTCCCCAATTGAAAAAGAGTCCCCACTTTGTTCCAGTAGAACTTGCATTTGTTATATATTTATAAGGTTTCAAAAACAATTTTTTTGTTGCAATCATCTTTATTTTAAAGTCGTAGGTGGGAAATATCATTTGCCTGGGCTGTACCATAAGACTCTGGTTGGAATGTTTACAGATTAAAAGATCTGGCTATAAAACAACTCAGTTAGCAAAGATACAGTTTGGGTTTATTTTTCAATATGATTTAAGTTATAAATTCTTACCCTCACAAATGCGGTCAAGTCTCTGTCGCTTGACCTGTTTGTGTTTGTCCATCAGAGCCATAGACCGAGTAGTTAGAAGCTGGAACACAGAAGAACCAATCCAAGTGCAGGGGCCCCTTTACCAAGGATGTTGGCACCTGTAACAGAGATAAATTATCCTTAAATACAAACGTACCGAGACGAGCGGTTTTTTACATTTCTCAAACGCATTATCTATGATAATGTACAGCTTACTTGAATGGCAACTTTGCCTGAAGTGAGTTTGAATAGATTTCACTAAAAAACAAAATGTATACATGCATATTTTTCAATAGCTTCTACACGGAACATAACAGAAAATAGCAAAGTTAGAAACAGAAGAGAAGACAAATTCTCATACATAGCACCGTTAACCACATAGCGCTAGCATAAGTGCGAGCTAATAGTGTACTTAGCGTTACGCCACTCCACATGCATTTTTACTCTGCAAATGCAGTGTTATCGCCACGTTATAGCCAACACGCGTACAGCATGGAACCAATTGTAAAGATAGTCTCAAGCATATAAAGAAACCTGCATAGATGTAAAGTTGAGTAACTTGCTAATAGTGTGCCGAGGTAACAAAACAAGGCTAGTTGATTCAAAGCTAACACAAACACTTGAGGATTTCTGGCAACTCAGTTTCACAAAGCCACGACAATGTATACTTTTTGAGTGCCATCGTATTATCGCGCTTACGTGGTCGAATGGGGGCAAAAAGTCTAATTTAGTGTAGATATTCTATGCTACCGGTGTCTGCAACAATGCTATCATAGGCTAACCCCGTTAAGTAGCGTGCCTCTGGAGTCAGCGGCGGGGGAGCCCATTTCTGCGATTTGTTATCTGCGAGTGGCGCTACAATGTGAAATAACTGACCCAGAACATGAGAATATATCCCATTTTAAGTGACATTAAAACTTACTATTTTCTATCTTCTCCTCATTTCACCCAGCTAGTTTAACAAATACTTCAAAATATTGAGTTATTTACCAAGAATAAACTCTGAGAAGAGTGCAAAGACAGTGTGCGTGCGTCGGTGATGTTCCCTCTCTCCCGATCGCCATGAAACCACTCTGAAGAGGAAGTAGGTCGTTGTTGATGGGGGTCAGTCGTGAATGAAAAGGCCCACTGGTCTGAAGGAGCGCCCTCACTTTACGCGGCGGAACTGTGAGTTTCAAGAGGTAAACACTTAAGCTATGCATATGTCACTGCTGTTTTCTTATTAGACGATTGGCTCGCAAGTTTGTGGCAATCAATCGTACACTAGCTAATACAAAAGTAGCGTACTTTACAAAAACATGTTTCAAGTCCTTTATTTGTACATAAATTGTGCAACAGGTCCCCATCTCAAAGGCACTAATCCCCACATATAAATATATTCATAGTCATTGAATCAGCTTTTCTCTCAAAATATAGAACATACAATATATGGTGCCTTTAAGGAATACAGCCGCAGCATCAAAAGTTCAATCATATACTGACTCTTAGTGCACTGCTCATACTACCCGTTAAAATGATCTGATTTAGCAGCGAAGATAAATATCCAGCTAAAAAGGTATCGATTAGACAGCATTTCATGCTTAAAAGCAACCGTGTGCTATTGCTGGTGTAAAAAAAATAAAATAAAATAAAAGGTACTAAAACACCAAAATACATTGCCAGTGTTTGGGTAGTGACGATTAAATCATCTGAATTGCAAATAGATAGTGTGCTTGATGCATGTTATTTTAACTATGTAGCCAACAAGCACATTGTGAATTAGGAATACATCAGAATTAAAATGTCAAAGAATGGCATGAAAAGGCCTTATTAAATTGATTTAGTAGCTTTTAATTTAGGCACCCCCAATATGACATTAATTTGGTAATGGAGATGCTGCCCATTGTATTATAATTACATTTGACACATTTATTTTCTTATTTGAAGTAATGTCTTAAAAAATGCAAATACAATAAAAAGTATATCTTGTGTCTGTGTTTTTATGTCTCCCCACTGGTGCTCTGTCTGCAAATTAAGTTCCTCACGGATAAATAAAGTTATTTGAATTGAATTTCACTTCAATTATTGTGTTTTGTGTCAAACAATTGGTGAAATACAGTACAAAGCCTTGGGGTCCGACTGACAGTTTGAGAACTGCTGTTCACTAATTGCAAGTTTTCTTAATTTAAGCACATTTAAGATGAGGTACCCAACTTTTTCCCATTCATAAATAATGCTTTTGATGCTGGGGACTGAGGGTGGATTCACTGAGGGAGTTTCTGTATTTTTTACTTTTCGATCTGAAAAGGGTGATTTAAAGATGTTGCATGGATGTGCAAACTAGCGATCTGTAGGTATTGATGTGCGAATCCCTACTCCAGTCAAACTAGCGATAGTAAAACAGGTTTTGAGCACAAGAAGCTAGTCAGATGATTTCATTAACGATCAATTTTTAGTGGTTTGAAAGTTAGATATCACTGCTTTAATGCCTTTTTGAGCCACCTCATTACATAGCTCATAAAACTTCATCCATTGATACTTTGTAAATTTATACAAAAATATGTTAGGAGCCTTACACTGCTCAGATATCAGGCAACAAGCTACTTTGTAACTACAGTGTATGACCAATTTAGACTCAAATTGTAATCTGCTGCTTTAGCATACGTGTTTATACGGCAATGATTAGACAATGTAGATTCATTACATACAGAGTTTCTTTAAAATGTATGCACTCCTTGTCATGCATTTAGAAATTGTGTAAAAAGCTGGCTCCCTGTAGAAGCCATGACAATCATTTGGAAATCGGCCCATCTGAATCTTGGTCATAAACAGCAAGTTGTCAAACATGTGCAAAATTAGTTCTCCTCAATAAGATTTAAATCAAGTTCTGTGCAGTCCCTTTCGAAAACAACAATTTGTCCTCCATCCTTTTCTTCTTCACTTTCACTAAGGGGTCCAATACTGAGTCTTCCAAGAAATTCTACAGGGGAGAAGGTGATGTTCTGTGCAGCCTATGAAGAACACAAACAAAACACAATTACAAATTATGCAAAAATGGCTCCAAACAACAACCAGATCTGATAGAATTGTCATAGTAGTCCGTCAGATCACAAGGTGGGTGTAACGCTTTTTTTTCCTTCAAGAGATGGGTGAGGGCTGCCGCTTTTATGGATACAAATATTGAGGTGCACAGCGTTTTCAGCATCCGACGAACACTCAGTCACAGAAATCTCAGCATGCAGGCAAAAGCTGCATTAAAATAGTGGCAGCCCCAAACTAACTCTTAAGAATCACCACATGTGAGTATTTAATTTTACCATCACAATAGCCGCAGCACATGGGTAACACAAATGCTGAGTGTGTTGGTGCCAGGATGTTTTGATATTTGTGTTTACCCCTATTTCAGGTATAAGTTTGAGCTATGTTTCTGCATTGTTTCTTCATCAAACAACATAATTTACCAATGTCACTTTCCCCACCATTTGTGGACCAGGCTAAGATTAGTTGAAATTATCATAGTCACTGAAACTCTGGAATTCTGGTTTATAAAATCAGAGAAGAACATTGGTTTGAATTTGCTATTTGACCCTAACTTAGATCCTCAAGCGTAGACCCAATTTCGACCCAGAAAAGTTCTGTTTTAGACCTGATTCAGATATGATGAATGCCAATTTTTTTTGTGTGAAAATGTTTTATAGCATAGTATATGCAGCACATTACAGATACATTACCTGTGTCATTTTGTCAAAGTCCAGCCCTGGTCTGGCAGATTGCAAAAGGTCTTGATCATGGCGCCTTTTTAAAAGAGGTCTCCGCATGTCACAAGGCTGCGAGTGACATCGTGGCAAGAAAGAATGAAGGCTGGTTCTTGAAGAGGGTGGTGTACTGCACACAGAGGTGGGAGATGGGGATAGTGCAGGCTGCTCCATACCTGAACAACCATATACAACACTTGACGCTGCAAAAGGTTGTGGAGGCTGGAGGATGACAGAGCTGCTCTCAATACGAACAGGAGACAGGGAAAAGCGGCGTTGTAGAAGTGAATGAGAGATGAGAGGAGCTGGTGATGAGGAGCAAGATGAGGAAGCAGCAAATGAGGCTGAGCAGGTTCCTTTTAGAGTGTCACACGGGTCCAAAGAGAAGCCCCAAGACAGAGGGGAGTCAGAAGAGAGGGCCAAGCTAAAGAATGTAGGGCTAGAAGAAGAGTTTAAAGAGGAGGAGGCAAAGGACGAACTCGCCCCACAGTTAGGAAGAGAACCTACTCCAGAGCCTGATGTAGAGGTTTCTCCGCTATGACAGCTACGCTTAATCGGGGTCCAAGCTTTGAATGCACTAGGATGCCATGTAGCGCGGCAGCGTGACAGGTCTCCCGGAACAGACAAGGAACGACAATGGCGTTTTGAAGGGGGTGGTGGTGGAGAGTTTTGTAATGTCTGTCTGAACTGTTCTGAAACTTTAGAGGTCCTGTGGGAGTCAGGATGGAACGAAGTTTCAAGAAGAGATGTTTTTGAAACATTTGCATCTGAAAAAAAAAACAAAAAAACAATAAGATCATGAACATGTGGCTTAAAATGACAGAACATAAAAATGAAATAACTCGCCTTGAGCGGGTATGCAAGTGCTCCAAGTAACTGTTGGGCTGGAGCCAAGGGCAGGAAGTGTCTGAAACAAATTGTATTTATCTTTATTTAGACAGGAGAGCTCAATGAGAGTTCCAGACTCTTTTTCACATGTAAAACATTTCCACACAACAACAGCATATAAGCAAGCAAAATAAAACAAAAAAACCAGTTAAAGCCATATGTATGAATTTTATAAAGGCTGTATATATATATATCTTAGGTTCAATATGCATTGAGAGAAGTAAAACTTACATTGTTAATAGTGAAAGTCTTGCTTTGAGCCTCATCCAAACTCTGTTTGCGGAGCTGTTCAGTGATGAGACTCACCATACTAACAGCTCAAGGATCTGCAGTGGGGGAGTAGGGCAGTGGATCATAGTCAGTCTCGGCCTGGTTTGTGATGTTCCCCTTCCACATCTCCAGCCAGACCAACCAAGTCCATTAATGTTCCACCATAGTAGTTTCAGCATACACCACTGCATAAAAAAAACAAGGTTAGTCAAACCCATTTTGAATAAATGTATGGACTATGAGCAATACAGACATAAATTGAGGCATAATCTGCAGTTCATGTAGCATGTGCTGAAAACACACAGGGAGAGCTTTAACAAAAAAATAAACCCTATTACATATTAGTACACTGGAATCTAAATTATATTGTGTATATCCCTGAGAAAATCAAATAAACTGTAAACAGTAACATGCAAGACCCAGAGCTGAGGGGGAGTGTGGTGTAAAGTGTCCACATTGTACAATGTCAAATGTCCATAGACTATTGCATTTTGATTATCAGCCCAGTATGAGTGTTTATGTAATATTGGTGCAAGTCAAAGATCAAATGTAATCAAGAGACTTAAATTATTGTATATGCATTTATTGATAACTAAAGTTATTCAACTAACCTTTCAGTAACTCGATATACATGCCTTTAACTAACTAGCGCAACTCATACATTCAACAATGTTATCAAAAACACGATAGAGCTAATGGTTTTAATTTGCTCATAATCTAGACGAGTTTACGTGCTAGCTACCCAGTAAATGCATGGGTAGTTAGCGTAAACTGTATTATCCCTTTTTGGATTTTGTTTTAAACCCCACGACTACTTTCTAATATTATTTGAACATGAAGATGAAATCAACATACGGATATCGGGTTCGTTATCACGGGGCAGGTTAGCACGCTAGGTTGCTAGCTGTCCATGGGTTACCTGCATTTAGCGGTTTCTAAGCAACGGAAGCAGCAGCACTGTGACCCGTCGGACAGGACTATTTATCAGTTTGGACTGTACCATTCTGAAGGGGCCACCAGTGCTCACTCCGGCACGTGTTTAACATGTACAGTCTGCCCAAAACATACATTGTAGAAAAATAGTGAACACATGGTAAATAAAAAACTAGAAAACGATTTTAACTGTGACTACGAATGGATTTAAATTGACCAGTACCATTTTTGTATTCGTGTAGTGTCATCTCACCACCACAAAAAACAGATATACATTTTTAAGCATAGATTGGAATTGTACGCTTCAAAATGTTAACACAAGTGAAGTGTTTTTATTGGTCGTAGTCATAGGTCGATTATATAATCGAAAAGGTTTTGTCATAACTTGCTCTGCAGGAAAAGGAAATAATAAAAAGTTCCGACGCGCATGCGTATGACATGGAAATTCACAAGATTTCATGGGTTTCACGCTGTAATACAAGGACGTCTTTTAAAAGAAAAGTCAAAGATGGAACTTACAAAAGAAAATACACTTGCATTGAGAAATAAATTAATCGGGTATGTGTCTCTCAATATTCATTCTATAAGCTGCTCCTGGTTGCAGCTCGTGATCTTCTCGCACGCCTTGAGTTTTCCGTTTTGGGAAAATTTCCTTTTTTATTCCCATGTTCCTGAGCTCTCACACAGACTATGATTTGCAGGCAGTCTGTCAGACTTTTCTATTCTGATAGTCCGGTGAAAATAACACGAGCAAGAGGTCAATATCTGTTTGACGAGAATGGGACTGAATATTTGGATTGCATCAGTAACGTTCAACATGGTAAAAGTATAATATATGTTTATCTAGAATGTTGCATCATGTAGTATAATGTATTGCCTTTTACAGTGGGACACTGCCACCCTAGCATTACAGAGGCTGCGGCAAGACAAATGGACCTCCTAAACACTAATACAAGATTCTTGCATGACAACATTATCACGTATGCAGAACGACTTGCAGCTACACTTCCTGCTAAACTATCTGTATTCTACTTTGTCAATTCTGGGTAATGCTTTTTTAATATACTTTTTTAAATTAAACTTAGTGTTGCAGAGTTGCATTTATGTATTCCAGATCAGAGGCCAATGACCTGGCTCTACGTTTGGCTCAGCAGTATACTCAGCAGGAAGATGTTATTGTCCTTGATCAGTAAGATTTCTATTACAACAGTTTGTCTACGTAAACCTTTGGAGGTTAAATTAATCACAATGTTGCACTACAGCCTTGCTTAGATTACACTAAGATTGTTTTACGGATATGATCTAGATGTACGGGGTTAGGGTTTATTCATGTTTTTTTTTTCTATACTAGTGCATACCATGGACATCTAATGTCTCTTATTGACATCAGCCCCTACAAGTTCAGGAAACTGACAGGGCAGAAAGAATGGGTTCATGTGGTAACTAAATGAAGAGCTTTATCATTCCAGCTATGACCACACCATGTCTTGAAATAGGTGTGTCCCCCTTATGCCCAGGCTCCTTTGCCAGACACATATAGAGGTGTATATAGAGCTGACCAATCCAATCCAGGAAAAGCGTATGCTGATGCAGTAAAGGATGTAATTGATCAAGTACAAAGTAAAGGACGAAAGGTACATTTATTTATTGATGTACTTTAATATAGATGTTTGTTGAATGTGTTTAATTCCTATAGATTGCAGCCTTCTTTGCCGAGTCATTACCAAGTGTTGGAGGACAGATCATCTTCCCAGAAGGATATTCTGTCAAGGTTGCAGAGTAAGCACTAGTACACTAAACAATTAAAGATATGTTGATGTTATTATAGTTTCCTCTTGACAACAGATATGTGCACTCTGCTGGTGGAATTTTTGTGGCAGATGAAGTGCAGACCGGATTTGGACGAGTGGGAACCCACTTCTGGGCTTTCCAGTTACAAGGGGAGAATTTCTGTCCTGACATTGTGACCATGGGAAAACCTATGGGCAATGGCCATCCTCTAGCTTGTGTTGTCACAACTGCAGAAATAGCTGGTGCCTTTACAGCAAATGGCGTAGAGTATTTCAACACTGTATTATTATTTCTTTAACTTTAAAATGAAAAACAAAGCTTTGTCATATTGATAAAACTCTTTGTATTCATAGTTTGGAGGGAATCCGGTGTCTTGTGCAATTGGTTTAGCAGTCCTTGATGTGATTGAGAAAGAAGACCTCAGAGGAAATGCCATCAAAGTTGGAGCCATGTTTAAACATCTGCTCCAACAGTTGTCCTCAAAATATGAACTAATTGGTGATGTGCGGTAAGTTAGTTGTAAATGGAATCCAAACATTGTGTTGACTTACACCCCATTCAAAAATGTTTATGGTCTATATCATTCAGAGGTGTGGGACTATTTATTGGCCTCGAGCTTGTCACAGACAGAGAACTGAAAACACCAGCTACTCATACCGCTGCATATATTGTAAAAAGGTAATTGTAACAGAATTAACAGCTTTCAATTTGTAATTGAGATGTTTAACAGGTTGAAGGAGGATCATATTGTTGTCAGTACAGATGGCCCTTGGGATAATGTGTTGAAGTTTAAGCCACCCATGTGCTTCAGTATGGATAACGCAAAACGTGTGACACAATGTATTGACAACATTCTCGCAGGTAGGAAAAAATATTCCATGGGTTTCAATCTCTAGTATCTAATTTTGTGTTACCCCAAACCAGATATAAAGACCAAGAACCTTGAACTGGACAGAGACGACGTCTAAAAATATTCACCTGTAGAAATGTTTAATAAATTATGTACGGTCACATTCATCAGGTTCAGAGGTAGAAATATGAACATCTGTTTGGCTTCCTTTGACAAACAGGTTCATTTTACTAGACACAACTAGTCACAGATATGGCTCACATTCTCATCCATTCAATTCTCACTAGTTTCTAAAACATATCCAAGAGGCATCTGTGGTCCAGGACAAGCAGCTGAAAGTCTTCACTTGAACTCCTTGTAATAAACTTTTACATGTGCCTTATTATGGTTGATATACTTCATGGTACCAAATAGGTACAAACTTACCAGACTACAACACATTTACGGGACTTCTCATAAGCACTCAGCCATGTAGCACTTTTTCATTGGGTTAAAATATTTAAGACAAAAGCAAGCCATTTAACAGCACAAAACATTTAACATTAACTTTAATAATAACAAAAGATCCATGATTATTATGAACCAAAAGTTTATTTCTATCAATTTGCCCAAGACACTAGAGGAATGAGTTTCCAGTGAGGGAGGGAATACCCCCTTACATTAACAGGCTTGCTTTCAGTTGTATAATACTAATAAAGCCACTTAAAATTGCAGACATGATGGAGGAAAAAAAAAAAAAAATAGTCCTTAAAAGCCAAAGTAACAAAAAAAATATATATATACGCTGGTTGTCTTTGTCTACGAGCCCATCAGCACACGTTCACTTGACACACAAATAGTCCTTTGATTAGTTTGAATTCCTTATTCAGCCCACACCTGAAGCCATGCAACTACTTGCATCCACCACTCAGCACGGGAGAATATAAACATAAGTTCTAGAACGACCAAAAAGAAAAAGCAAGTAATTTTTATTTAGAGCTTTAAAAGCTCTCGCTCTGCTCATCTGTAAATCCAGTAGACATGTAAAAATACAACCATACAATACATTAGATTCAAAAAGGTACCAAAAAGTACGGTAAAAATAACACTTCCATCGCTGGAAATGTAAAATGGACACAAAACAATATAAAATAAAAGTGGAAAAGTGACATTTGCTTCCCCAGTTCCTCACTTGATCTGTACAAATGGAGCATGAGTCCAAATTTCTGCCAACTCCAAAGGAAAAGCCAGAGCCCATGTTCGTTGTGGTCAGACCATGGATCTCTCTTATTTACTTTAGACCTTAAGAGAAAAACATGGTGCTTAATGTTACTACTTTTAAAACGAACATCATGCAGTCACACAAAGACAGGTGTATGAATGATTTTGACAAGTCATGTCGGCAAACACTAGGAGGAACACATCCGGTAGGTCTTGTACCCCTGGGTGAGCCCTCCCTCCTGCTCTCCACGGCCAATTCAACCCTTGTTGAACGAGGAGTGTTCGCATTTCAAAATGGCTGACGGTGAAATGAAACCCTTGACCAAACCCACATCACAGCCTGCTGCTACCCAACTACAATGCCTGAATGAATTTAAGTTGGATGAAATCTTTGAGGTCAAAAAGGCACCAATGGTTATAGCTATGTTTTCATACTACTACCGATGATGCAAAAATGCATACCTGCACTACGTGTGTTCAGTATGGCTTGTAGCTACTCTGGTGGCCTCCACGTCTTGGAGTTTTCCCATAGCTTGTATTGCCCTGGTCTGGAGGACAAGAGAAAGAGGGACTAAGTGCTTATGTACAACAAGGAGGACCAAGAAAATTAGGTTTCTCTGATTCAGTTTCTTTCCCTGGGGGGACTTATCGCTTACTGTAGTCGTAGCCACCCCCATAGCCGTAACCATAACCAGCAGGGTAGTCATAGCCGCTATAACCACCATATCCTCCATATCCTCCGTATCCTCCATAGCCCTGGTTGTATGCCTGATTCCAGTAGTTGTAGCCCTGGTTCCAACCTTGGCCCTGGCCTGAAAAACAACAGACACCAAATCAAAGTTTTCCTACAGTGGGACACAAAGGTTTTCATCTTAGACCGAAATCAGAGCCTTCAAATGCTATATGAACATCGATACTTACGAGAACCCCTTCCACGTCCCCCACGAGCGAGCTGTTGCTGATAAACTTCCTTGGGCTGAGCCTCTTTGATTTCACACTGTAAATGTCACAACATTTAGGTTGGTGGTACATTTACAGTATATAAAACACTTGACAACTGGTCAAGTGAGATTACCTGGCTTCCATCAACTGTGTGGTATCTCTTCTCCAAAAGCTTCTTTGCAGTAGCTTCTTCCTTGAACGTGATGAATACAAATCCTCTCCTCTTTTCTGACTTTGGGTCTTGTGGAAGTTCAACATTTTCAATCTAAATAAAAAGGTGTACATTGCTTAAAACCTGATTGAAAATTACAAATGGGGAAACAAATGGCGCACCTCTCCAAATTTCCCAAAAAACTCCTCAATGACTTCCTTAGAAGTTTCAGGGTTCATGCCTCCGACAAAGACTTTCTTGACTGGCTCCTTCTTCGGTGGTGCCATAGCCATGGCCTTCTTGGGGTCAATCTGTCTTCCATCCAATTTGTGTTCCTTCTGTTCAAGAACCTTCATAAAAAGGGGAAAAACACTTTCAGTTACCACTTACTTAAAACGTTTGGGGCAAAGACAAACACAACTCACTTTATTTACACATGCAGCATCTTTGAAGAGAATGAAGCCAAATCCTCTTGATCGGCCAGAAATGGGGTCAATTTTAATGGTGCAGTCGGTGACCTCACCGAATTTAGAAAAGTAATCCTTGAGATCCTTCTTGCTTGTGTCCCAACTGAGACCTCCAACAAACATTTTTCTAAAAAGGGGAGAAACAGAAAGGGCATGTTTAAATTTACATACGGTGTCGCTGTACCAACTCATGGATGTGGGGGTGGGAGGTTCGTTGGTCAATGGGGGTGAGTGCACACCATGTTCCCAAACTTAAAGTGACCCCATTAAAGCCCAAATTAGTGATAAATCAATTAATTTGACGACAAATACCGTGCTACAAACTAGCAAAGACCACATTCGCTCATTTAGTATCGCAGCACTTAAGCGCTGTCTGTTGCCCATCCCCCTCCCGCTTTGCACATGGCGCCAACAAAGACCGGCCGAACAAAGAACATAGAAACACCAGCAGCCATTATGATGCCTACAACAACATGTTTATATTGTGCATGTAGAGCTTACCCTGCATCCTCTTCGCTTTTGCTCGCGTCGATCTGGTTTCCCTCTGTAGCGCCGTTCTCCTCGGCCGCAGCGACTCCATTGCCGTCGGCCGCTTCTTCAGTGTGGCCGGCCCCATTTAAATCATCGCCCGTGAAGCCATTTTCTGTATTTGTTTCCATATACTGTTGTTCAGAGTCCGACATTTTGTGGTTTAAAACCTAGAAAAAGAATCATTTGCTTGATAAGATGTTTGTTTTTTTATAAGCCCGTGTTTAATGAACGCGCCGATCGCCATTTCTCCGGAGTCAATTCGTACATTTCCCACCATTTTGACCGGCAAGTCAGCCTACACCAGCATACCATGGCACGGTCACACTGTCTCACCAAAGACCCTACAGTGACATACACTACACACCCTTCAAGCCTATAGAAACTAACGGGATGTACACAAAAGCTGGTTCTGAACCAAAAGTGACGGGAAACGGGTGCGAGAAGCCCTGGCGACGCTGTTACGTAACACGGGCCTGTGCCGCTAATCACACCTTGTGCAGAAGGAGCCATACGATCCAGTCATGGGCTTTGAAAATTAATACAGCGTCGTTATTCACGCGCAACAATTGTAGGTTTAAAGAGAGGAATAAAGGGGGTATTACTCACAGGTCACACAGCCGGAGAGCTCTCTTCAAGATGGATTCTCCCACACGACGATGACTCGTGGTTGGTTTCTATCACCGGCAGGAAAAAAACCCTGCATTTCTCCAGAGCCCGCAGCTGATTGGAGGATCGCGCTGCCCCTCAAAGCCTCCTCCAATAAATTCACCACGCCCTCTCTGATGGTCACGCCTCTTATATCGTGAAGGAAAAATCATTCTTTTACTACTGCATGACTAAATAGAGACATGCTCCAGACATTATTCTTGTAGAAGCAAATGGTTTGGTAAAAGTACACACTACTCGCAAAGAACTGGAGACATTTGAGTGTGATTTCAGGATGACCTGAATCAGAGGTGACGGCAAGACTTTTTACTACTGATTCAAACCCAATAACTGTACCTTTCCCTCGTTGCATAAGAATACTAGTTACTTTTCAGATGGCAACAAGACATACACACATTTACGTGGTTGTATGGCTTTTACATACAAAAAGGTTGTACTTTTATACTTTCACTTTAGCCAGACTGGTATTCATACTTACCAAAGAGTAGTATTTTTGTCACATCTGCTTATAATGCGTGACAACTTTCACAAGGAGGTGAATGACATAATTTTAACTCTTGATTGATCTACAAATCCATCAAGGCATTACTTGGTTCAATTCAAACAGTCCCGTCATCATGTTTTGCACATTTGGACAAGATGAGACCAAAACTATATTGATCAGAGATGTGGAAGAGGCCTGGAAGTAGAGGTTCTTTGGCCACATCTTACACTGATCAATTCTAAAGGCCCTGCTGGAGGTGGATGCGAACCCAGGACTTTCTTACTAAAAAGAGAGAGTGCTAACCACTCCTACCTGTTGCACCATTTTGCATTGGTGAGGCCTCTGCTGTTCTCTGAGCAGAAATGCTGGTCGTCACGGGTGTTGGAGAGTGCTGAACACCGTGAGCTGTTGGTGCTGATGGGAGTGAAACTGAACAACTCCTTTACAGAAGAAATGACACTTCCACAATTAGCAGCAGAAACATTTATCATAATGTAATACCATATTAATGCAATGTCATGTCAATGCTTTTCCTCTTTTTCCATTTTAACTTCCCCACTAAGTAGAGGCTGATTTGGGTTGTTTTTAACAAGCCAGTCTGCAAGCCACATCTGTGTGGAAAAGATCAGATAGATTAATATATCTATAAAATTACAAGTAAAACAGATACAATTGATTGTGTTCACTCACACAGGGATCAGATGGCTTGTGCCTACATAGTTCAGTCAATCCAGTTAATAAGGTGGGGTTCACATACTTGCTCAAGTATTCTTCTGTTTTATGAATAGATGGAAAGGGCTCAATTATAGCTGAGGAAAGATGTGTATTACAACAGACTTTTAACCTTTTAAAAAATGTGACAGCACAGGAGAATATGTTCTTACTGTTTGGGAAAATAAACTTTATCTCTCGCTCAGCGTCCATGAAAGATTCACTGCCATGCACTGCATTTTGAAGGTCAGATGTTCCATATTTAGCTCTTAGACTAAATAAATAATCACATTACAAACGCAATTTATAGCCTAATAAAGCAAAAACAAGAGAAGACTCACCTCCCAGGTTGTGTCTCTCTGGCTTTGACGATGCTGGGGGGTCCCATTGTACACTTCCAGTGGGCTATGGCATTCTCCCTCGCCAGAGTATAGGCAAGTATGGGCGCAGAGCTCAGGAAAGCAGTCAAACTGGGAAACGTTGGCTTTCCATACTGGTCTGCATAAAAGTCACTGCACTGTTCCACGCTTAACTGCACACGCCGTTTCTGTAGTGTTTATTAATCCAAATTAAAACTTGGTACATTTATTCAAAATGTATTTAAGAATAATCCAAAATCACACCCACCTGAACAATAGTGAAACCAGAATGACGGATGACGTCCTCTATTTCATCAGCTTTATGAAGAGCGTCTGGTTTAATCAAGGCCAAGGTTCTTTCCACATAAACACGGTCCTTCATAGTTGTCCCCATGTTTCTGTAGGCTCCTATTGTACACTTTTCTGACGAGTTCACCTTTTCACACGCGACTCCCGCTGCAGGATGTAGTGCGTCCTCGCGTTGCTAGGATACAGTCTACGGAAAGTCCAGAGACAAAACGGCTCGCTGCTGCATTCTAAAACATGGATAATCGTGTAGCAAATATAAAGTTTGGACCGTTTCTATTAGAAAATAATATGCGTTTGTGATGCAATTCCTTGTGCTAACCTCAGGTCAAAACGATCCGCCACGGATTATGTATAGAAAAATACAATATTACGGTCGTAACCATCAAGTGTCCCTTAGACCCAGGGCTGGTAAAGATGAAAAATCTAAATTAGGCTCAAAAAAAAAAAAAAAAAAAATCACCGTTGCAGGTCAATTTGACCTGAGGATTAACAAGGGCTAACAAGGGCAGTTTAACACTTTTCATGGACTCCCAAATAATAAAACTCAATTTTAGAAACTCCAAAATAGCAGTTTCCTTATTTCGAGTCAAAGCAAACATTGAATCAGTCATTTGCAGGGTGATATGCCTTAGATAAGTTAAGGTTATATACAGAATAAATCTGACAGTGACACCTACTATACACTCAATTTACCAAAGAGGTTAACCAGCGTTGTGTACTCAGGTAAATAATTACATTAACACATATGGCAATTATATGGCTCAAGCACTAACAGCACCTAAAGGCAGAAATTAATGGAGACTCTCAAAAAATAAGTCCATGAGATCATCATAAAATGCCATCATTTTACAAAACACATTTCATGGCAAGTAGCAAGGAAGCAGGTGTTTTTTGAATACTTTTTATTTAAATTTTCTTGACAAAAAGTCCTTATCGTGTTCCAATGGTGACTTGCCACACACGGATCAGGTTGTCAGTGTAGCCGGCAAACAGGGTCTGAAAAGAAACAAGTTGTTACATAATGGAATATTTTAGTCTCTACTTTTGCATTTTTAAAGTCCCTCATATTTGCAGGACTGTCATCAAGAGACATCAGAACAAAAAAGTGAATGGGTATAATCAATGGGAAAAGTTTAAAACAGTGGTATCTGTAGACAGCAGTTACCTGTCCGTCAGCTGACCAGGCCAGCGAGGTGCATTGTGGGGGCTCGGCCTTGCTGTTTGTGCTGATGACCTCTTGTCTCAGTTCATCTACAATGATTTTGCCCTCCAGATCCTAAACAAAAACTCAATATAGTCAAAATGTAATGTACCACAAACTGTGCAATTAAAAAAATCGTTTAAAAGCTCAGAAACAGCCTCTTTATCATCATATAATACAGACGGCATTTATGTGATCATCTCAGCTTATGAAATCAAGCAATTGTATAACAATCACAATTCATTACGAATTAAGAAAGCCCATACCCAGATTTTGATGCTAGGTCCAGTGGCTGCACACAGCCAGTAGCGGTTGGGGCTAAAGCAAAGGGCATTAATTGTGTCACCGCTGTCCAGGGTGTACAAGTGCTTGCCCTCATTCAGGTCCCACAGCATAGCCTGGCCGTCCTAAATACACAACACATTTAATAATAACATTCAAGAGAAAAGGGGTAGATGCAAGGCATTCTGGCAGGTCTAACTCAGAAACAGCCTCTGTTATCATCACAATACAGATATTTAGAAATTCCATCACAGTAAAAGACTGGTGCAGTTAACAGCATACATAAGTTGTACACTAACCCTTCCGCCAGATGCACACAGAGAGCCATCAGGAGAGACAGTCACTGTGTTGAGGAATCCTGTGTGCCCAATGTGGTTGGTCTTGAGCTTGCAGTTAGCCAAGTTCCACACCTTTGGATGAAAAAAAGTTTAGTTGAGCGGAATAAAGACCTCCATCAAGTGTAATCCGTAACAATTGAGCAGTACATAGTAATTTGGTTTGTTCAGATTTAAGTAGATAACTCACCTTGACCATCTTATCCCAACCACAGGAGACAATGATGGGGTTGCTGCTGTTGGGGGAGAAACGCACACAAGACACCCACTCACTGTGTCCCTCATCCTACAGAAATCAAAGCGGTGGTCAGTACTTTATGGACTTTGGGATATAGTACAAACTCAATTACCTGAATGGTATATTTGCAAACACCAAGGGTGTTCCACAACTTGATGGTCTTGTCCCTGGAGCCTGATACAATCTGGCGGTTATCTGCAGAGAAGGCCACGCTCAGAACATCCTTGGTGTGGCCAACAAAGTTGCGGGTTGTAAGACCCCTGCAAAGACCAAACAATGCATTCACAATTACCATTACATGACTGGGACCAAAAAATTAAACGCATCAAGAGGATAATAAAAGGGAGTAGCAGTAAAAATTGAAACAAATCTTTATAAAGACAATGTACTATTCATCTATCCTAAGAAGCAACCTACATTGTCCACATCAACACTGATATAACTTCAATCACTTACGTGGTAAGATCCCAAAGGCGCAGGGTACCGTCCCAAGCACCAGAGAGGGCAAACTGTCCATCGGAGGAGATGACAACATCACTTACGAAGTGAGAGTGTCCTGTAAGCGCTCGCTGGGGGATTCCGTAGTTGGTCTCATCACGGGTGAGCTTCCACATGATGATGCTCTTGTCTAGGAGAAAAAATGCATACATTTCAATCAAAACACTTAATACAAGTCCTAGACACAAACCACACATATCTACCACCCAACTACAAATGCAACAGTTTTGGATTCGTATCATTATTTACACCCGTGACCTTATAGCTGCGCATATATAAATCACACGTGTCAATCAGCTATGGGTTTTATTTGCTAGTCATTTGAACTAGCATGCTATGCTAACCGGTCTTATTGTGAAGTACAGAGAACACAGGTATTTTCCCCCACATTTTTCTTGAATCCCCCACTATGTTTTAGTGTTACAGACATATGCACAAGCTCAGACAATCTGTCGGTGGAAACGCTGCTCTGCTCATGTTCGCGTAACCGGGCGAAGAGCCTCACCTCGGGACGCCGACAGAATCATGTCGGGGTACTGCGGCGTCGTGGCGATCTGGGTCACCCATCCACTGTGGCCCTTCAGGGTGCCCCTCACTGTCATCTGCTCAGTCATTTTGGAGCGGTTTGGTGGTGCCAAAGGCGAGGATGGCTTCGGATTATACACAGACCCGACAGACCTAAGTCCTCATCGCACCAGGGCACAGAGGAAAAGGAAGTACACACCCGGATGCAAAAACTATGAGGAGGTGAAACGAGTCCGGTGCATTGTGGGATATGTAGTGGGCCAGGTGCCATTTTTGTCATTCTAACGTTGGGGATACCATTTTACAAATGTTCTTAGCTACAATATACTTATAATCTGCAATAAAATATAGTAGGCCTACTGTATTTGAAATACTTTCATGTTGATTTGCATATTATTAAGTCATGCATTATAGCAGTAGAGCAACTTTTCACTATTCCTAATTAATCTTTCATTGTTGATAATTAGAAAATGTGTAAACACTGGTATGCCTCGCTCTCATTGTCTGTTTTGCCCTGGTGAGGAAAGGTGAGGGCTCAATGAAGGATATTTGTATTTAAAAGCAGAGTGCCTCGGATTCTGCTGCTTCAGTGTTTAACCCTCTTATATGTTTCTGCACCTGTATCTCACTCTACCTTTTAACTTCTAGCTCAAGTAGCACCCAACAGCCCTTGTTTTATAACTTTAGCTATGCTAATCAAAGGAGAGGATGGAAATTGAAACAGAATAATACCGTTGTAGAGTTTTCTCAGAGCAGAGGTCGGGAGACAAAGTCTCATACTTTAAAATTTAGTTTTGTGGGGGCCATGCACACTTTTTTTAAACTGTGAATATGTGCAATTTTTACTATCAACAAATATAGTGCATTTTTAATCTCATAATCACTTCAGAGCATTTTTGTACTAAAGAAATTCAATATATAAAACATTCTAACTAGTTCCTACTAAGATTTGTTCGAGAGCCAGACACACTCATAGAAAAAGCCGTATATGGCTACTCTTTTCACAATTATTTGAAAGTCCTACATGTAATAAACGTGCTTCTGGTGATGTGATGGCTCTAGGTTTTTATGCTTTTTTAAGAAAGGGGACAAGCAGGTGGGCTGATACAGCCTTCACCTGTAAAGAAACCCATTCCATAATAATGCAATGAAACACACTCAATAAAGTATTGTGTGTGTTTCTTAGTTTAACCTTACTTAGGATTAGAGCAGAGAATGTGGTCCAAACCAAGCGGCTACTCCACCTTGTGACCTGTCCTGCTCCACCCAGAGGCTACTTCATCTCTGCTGCTATGATCAGAAGGGCTGATGCTGATTATTATTATTGTTAGCTTTTTTAAATGATCAATTTAATTTTTTATTTTTGCTGCTACTGGACACTTGAATTCCTCCTACGGGGATCAATAAAGTATCAATCTATCTATCTACTGACAGTGGAGTGGCCAATCTAAATGTTCTGTGGGCCATTTTTAAACTCTGGTAAATAGACTGATAAATAAGACCAATTCCATGTATTTCAGTTTAAATGTTTATTTAACACTTCTCTTATACATATTTAAGAGTCATTACAAAAATAGCTTAATTCTTTCACAACCAAATACACAAAACATCACAAATAATACTGTGCCATTAAACTTCATTAGGCCGTAGATTGATGTTGAAAGAAACTGTAAAATAAATTGACCGATGGAGAACCACATACAGTAATAAATATAGCAGATGTCAGAAGCATTTGGATGCTGATGATTACTTTTAAAAAAGCATTCAGTATTTGTCATTATAGCCTGTGGCTCTGGCCACCAATAAAACTGGCCTTATGTTTTGTGAAAATGAAAAAAAAGGAAGGATAACGCATACTGGATAAAGAAAGAAAATAAAGTGGTTTTGTGTCACACATCATATACACTCATGGATTGTGTTAGTCTTTCACACTGTTTTTTTGTATATTAAAATCACATATAATGTACATTAAAATTGAGCAGCTAATTAAGGCACAAATACATGGCCAATGTCTTTTGGCAACATGATCACAATAAACACTGAATGGCAATAACTCATGCAGGCACATAAGATGGAAAAGTCAGTAGTTTCATTCATACTTAGAGAGGAATATGTCTGTTTATTGGTTTTGGCCTGCACTCATTTTACACATGATCATACTTGACTTTGTGTACTGTTTGTCCTGTCGAACAATAGCCTAAATATTTCCAAAATAGAACTTTTCCATCTTACACAAATGTGTTTATGTTCACCTGGTATGACGCACAGGAATGCGAAATGAAAACAGACAAATATTTTTGTAGAAATTCAAAAAGACTCAAAATTGTCAAAATAAACATTGACTAACTTGACTCATTGACTAAGAATTCTGCCGTCATTGTATCAAACAGGGACCACAAGTCGTAAAGGTTGTCTCCAAAATCATGCATTTAGTTTGTGAAACACCTTTCTGAAACTGTCCAGTCCAGGAAAACGTTCTTTCTGTGCAGTATATCCTTATGTGCCACTGACCAAAGGCAGAGCCCAAAAACGTCCTGTTTTGCCCAAACCCAGATCTTTGACCCCAAAGCTTCTGACTGTCCAGCGACATTTGACAGTCTGCCTCTTGTCAAAAGGTATGTTCTCATTCAAATCCCACGATGATTCAAGGCTGAGAAAGTCGCTTGCGTTTCAGCTTTTGCCTTGCCATCTCCTCCTTGTGAATAGCACAAAACCCACATGTCTACATTTGCTGCTCAAACTGTTCATTTCAAATAAATCAGCGTCATGAGGGGAAGTCAGACTCAGGCAGCAACACGTTGTTAGTAATACAGCCCTCCTTTTCTCCATGCTGTACACTGTCCTCGGCCTCAAACTGAGCAAGAAACATCTTCAAAAAGGCACAATACTGTTATAGGCCGAAAAAATCTCTGTTCATTTACATATATTATCACATGTTCTTTACAAAAAGAGAGCGAGTTATTGGTGTGGTATTCAACAGCAAAATATACTATATCAGTATGTACAGATCCCATGCTGGAGGTTAGTCATCACTGCAAAGAAGCACAAAGAGATGGACAATTAGTAACATTTCAAACAGGCCATACTTACAATATTCCCCTGTACATAACCAAGCAACAATGTATCAGCATTTTCCAAACTCTAAATGGATTGATTTGGTTTTGTTAATGACTATTTGATCCAATACTATCGGTTTCTCACCTTGTGCCAGCAGCCTGGTATTGGCAAACCATCATGTCCCTAAAAGGCCAGGAATACAGTTATTGTGCGTGTCAATTGTATGCTTTGAATACATCTGGTTTTGCTTTAAAGTAATGGCAGGATACAGAGAAACAGAGTTGTAAAGATGAAAAGATAAGAAATGTTGAGATACTGACCAAAGGACAAGGTGCGTCAGGAAGAGGAGGCAGAGAGGAAGAGGGAGTGGCTTCAGCAGGAGGAGCTTTAGCCTCAGCACAGCCCTGAGCACGAGCCATGTGACATGAACACAGCAGAGGAAAAGAAAGATACCAGGACAAAAGAAAAGGATAAGAATAAAGCTGGAAGTCCAGCAGAGGGAAGAACTACATCCGCTCAGGGGTTAGTGTGACGTACCACAGGACAAGGCTGGTCCAGACCGGGAGGACCCTGCTCCCCTTTCTGACCTTTCAGGCCGCGCTTTCCTACTGACCCTCTGTCGCCCTGATAACAGCACAAGCGCAGTTATAAATAGTCACAAAAGTCAGTTTGCTTCTGATAAGGGAAATTACGACCTTTACCTTCTCCCCCCTCTCGCCTCTGTCTCCTTTTCCCCCCATCATTCCTGGAAAGCCCTAAGATCACAAAACATATTTAGGTCAAGGTAAATTACTTAAGTAACAACAACATAATAGGTTGTAGTCATGTTCTAGAAGTCTATTTCAGTTGGAGGGAAGGCGCCAATACAACTCTATGGGAGAGAAGCACTGTCCTGTGCACTGTCCTGTGCACTGGCGAACTAGCAAGTGTTGTAAGAATACTGTCACCACTTCTCACTTCACAACACATGTAGAACTGTGGATGTGAAACTTTGACTGCTTTTGTTTCATGTGGATTACCAATAAATTAGAAATAAACTAAAGATAAAGATTAGACTTTTGACAGTTACCAGTAACTGTCGGTAGTTCACCTGCCCTCCACCACAATTTCAATCTTAGGATCTTTGGAATGTTGTGATGTGAAAGCAACCTTTTGAAAAATGTGTTTAAACTTACATCGAGTCCAGGTTCTCCTGGTCTGCCCTAGAAAACAAATATTTAAGCAATACTATTATGTAACAAGCCCAAAATTTATTTTTAATTGTGTTTATTACCTTTTCACCCTTTGCTCCAGGAAGACCCACTAACCCAGGAGATCCAGGGGGGCCCTGGTGACCGTCTGTGCCCTATGGATAAAATCCAACATTTTTAGATTGCATGTAGTATTATATCAACAACCTAGCCACATTTTAAAGCAGATTTACTCTGTATCCAGATGCTCCAATTTCCCCCTTCTCGCCCTTCATTCCAAATCCTGGTTCACCCTGCATCACAGTGTAAAACATATTTATAAATAAACAGATAAATAAATGCTTGTGGGTTAATATTTACAGTCTATGTTGTGGGTGCTATAACCAGGGGAAAATGGCCTCACCTTTGGACCAGGCATCCCATGCAGGCCCTGAAACACAGTGAAGTGCAATGAGAAACCACATATATTGTATTGTATTTGATAAATCAACCACTCACCATGGATCCTGGAGACCCTGGCATTCCCGGTGGACCCGGTGGACCTGGCTGGGAAATCATCTGAACCTGAGAGCGATAAAAGCTGTTCATTCTAAAACTGTTAACTGTGATCAAAACTATATACAACACTTTGTGGAGCACTGACCAAATTGTCATCTAGTTTGCAGTCACCCTTCTCTCCTTTCTGCCCGTCCACGCCCTGTGCCCAACACCACAATGAGTCTTTGATGCATGAGTTCATCATCAGCAGCAGTGCATACTCACTGTGGGCCCAGTGAAACCCATCTCTCCCTTCTCTCCTCTTGGTCCTGGAGCACCTGTGTCACCGTCGCCACCTTTAGGTCCCTGGAAGCATGCAAACATTAGCTCCCATCATCATCATCTGCGTCATCATCATCATCATCATCATCATCATCAAGACCGTCTTCGTCATGCCCCTCCTCTATAGCAGAGTTCCCGTATAATCAGAGGTATGCAGACCTCTAGCGCATCGTTGTCAAAGTCAAGGCCCGGGGGCCAGATCCGGCCCGCGCGACCATTTCCAGTGGCCCCTGAGATTAATTATTATATTAAATAGCAGCATTGATGGTATTAGGCGACAATGGCATGTTATCCATTACTAATTTTTTCAATAAAACAACCATAACATTTTATTCCATAAGAAATGTTAAGCCAACATGTAATTACAAGTTAGTATTGTTATACGAGTCTTCAATTAAATTTTCTTCTTAAAGATATGAAGGAGGATTTCCAAATTTTCTCAGGAAAGAACCGCCCTAACCACTTTTTGAACTAAATTCTCTGGTCTTATTTGACAAGCACAAATCAACAGAATGGTTGCCAATTGGGAGGACCAATAGTCTTGATGATCCTCCCGGAAGTAGAAAAACCTCCTGTATACCTTCAATATTTGATCCAGATTTGGTTCTGTCCACAAGAACTGAACTAATTCACCAGTTGTCTAGGCTCACAGACCTTCTAATCGCAGCAGTGTTGCTCGGTCCTGTCCGGTGTTTAATGTCATCTGTCCACATTAATCGTTGTCTTCCTCACTTCCGATAATCCCCAATTTGAAAGTCGGAATTGACAAAAGCAAACAATCTCCAAAAATGTAGAGCAAACTCACTTTTTCTCCATCAACTCCGGCTGGTCCAGGTAACCCAAGTTCTCCCTGCACAAATCAAACATTATTGTAAAAAAAGAGTCCAAACTCAGCGTTCACTCAATAGCATCACTCAAAGCCGTACCTTTTCCCCTGGAGGCCCAGGCAGTCCAGGTGGCCCAGGCGGACCCTATGGACAGAAGCACAAGACCATGTGTCACTTGGTCGCACTATTTGTATTATTCAGACAAACTTAAATGTATCTTCAAAGACAAATTCTGGAATTGTCTTATCTTGTCAATTGTTCTCATATTAGTGTCAAAATTAAACACTACAGTATGTTTCATGTTAATCTTCAACCATGAGGCGATATTTGTACAATAAATCAAATGTGTGATTTATTCCGTATGAGTTTGCATGCTGCAACTATGGTAGCTTTAACCAGGAACAGTTATACACATTAAACAAATATCTTGTAATATGTAAACCTTTGCCACCAGATGAGTCTACATTTAGCTGTTTCTTAATCACAGGTTCAAAGTCTATCGCAAAAGCAGAAACGGGAAAAAAATAGAAAAAAGTTAATAATCAAAACATGGCTCGCAACCAGAATAAGTAATTAAAGCAATACATTTACAACATACAACTCTTACAACACCTTAATGTTCTGTGATTATTTATGATTGTAATACATGGTGTGCCTTTGTTCAGCACTTGCCTTGCCTTAGAATAAGAACTAAGAAAAAGATTAAGAGATCTTTTGTTTGTCCCACAGTTGGGAAATATATATATGTTACAGTTTGAAGAGGACAAGTTTTCAAGATTCACCTCCACCCCTTCACCTCTGTTTTAACCCACTTTTGCTTCATGAAGTTGTATTTCATCACTAATGAAAACCGCCTGTTCCTAATCTCCCAAATGACACAGATAAATCATGCTCTCATCACTAGGGGGCGCTGCACTGAGCACATACATGATTTGAGTGAGTATTTGTGAGTGATATTGCGCCAGCTGATGTGAACTGGCAGGAGGCCCTAGATAAGATCACCAGGTCATGTGTCCAGCGTCTAGTCTGAAATATCGCATGCTTCAGAGGTACATGCAGGAGGCCGGCTCACGGTGACTTTAATCGAATACACACCACACTCAGAGATAGCATCTGGTATTAGCATGTGGCCCAGTGCACACAGTACACACAGTACACACAGTACACAGAGAATGCAGAATACAACGTGAGGCATCCATCTTCATTACTCAATTCTAAACTCAATGAAGGAACTTGATATGTTTACTATAGATACTAACAAAAAGTACATTACCTTTATACACTTTTATATTACTATTACTACTGACAATTCAGTTCAAAACTATAACAAAAAAAGAGTACTGAGGAAGTACATGATGAAAGTGGGCATAGTGTTTGGAGTGTGAGGGGTTGGCACCAAACCCTTTTCAAACTGTAGTATTCAAATTGTACTTCTGTACCTTATTTGCTTTATGTTATGATGCAGTAAAAATGTAACTTTGAAATACATACTAAAAGTAATCTTTAGTAGTAGTAGTAAGTAATCTTTATTTATATACCGCCTTTTCACTGCAGATCTGAGTTTCTTTTCTCTGAAATTACCACTACTCCTGATTACAAATACTAGTACCACTACAGCTTCCTCTTTCCTATAAATTCCACTTAATGACATCAAATTCTCTCCATCTAAAACGTTCAACACAACTATTTAAAGCTGGGGTACCTGACTCTCAAAAAAGAAGAAATGGAGCTTTATAGTACGATTTAAGCTGCTTAAGTGAAAAAAAAGAGAGGACCCCGCCCACTTAGCCATTCAGCTGTCTGTCCAAAGAGTCAAATAGTGACTCACAGGGCTCTTTCTCATAAGTATGCAAGATATAAAATGCTTTCTAATGAGGTGAAGACAGCATGTTGTCTGATTCTTTTGTTGTCTGACAGGAGTTTGGGCGAGCAAAATGTATGGGGGGAAAGTTAGGTACCCCAGCTTTAACAGCTGTAGTAGGTGTCACTGATGGTCATTTCCTTATTGCACATAGAAATTAAGGTTGTGTCTTGTCAGTCAGACCAGAACAGCTTGACAAGATTATATTGCGGCTGCGCTTTTCATCTTTAATTAATACACAAAACTATGCATTTACTCAAGTTTCCTCCAAACTAATTACATATGTGTTATAATGTAATTCATTTGAAATAGCTATGTATGTTATGAGACTTGGGTGGCATCTCTGACTGCCACCCCCCTGACCCAGAAATGGATTAAAGGGTAGAAAATGGATGGATGGTTAGCTATGTATGTAAAAAAGTGTTAGTAAGCACTGAACACACATGCTGCCAGTTACCGACACACTGATGGTGTTGATGGCCTGTCAAACAGAAAAAGTGACATTTCTTTAGATTTGTGGTTTGGCCGTGAAAATCCCCAGACATCCCTTTGCTCAGGATGCCATGTACGCTTATGTTACATGTTTTATATTTCGAACGTGATACCCTTTTACAAATGCCGTCGAGGTTCTTTAAGATGCAACCAGCATGTCTGCTCTGATAAGGCGTCACGCATCAGTCACCTGAAAGGCGTCCAGAAGTTTCCCATTAAAGTCTATGATGTCGGAGGAGGCCGAGGTGCCCTTTTCCCCAGGATAACCCTAGGAGAGATCATGTACACTATATTACTTATGGTCGTAAACATTCATTATACAGGCAGCAAAGCTCAGGAGGTGGAAGGGAACATACCATTGGTCCCTGGGGTCCTGGCTCTCCTGTTTCCCCCTTGTCTCCCTGTAATTAATATTATATCAATTCCCATATGTTCTGGATATGTATTCATTATTTTTAGTGAAACATGTACCTTGAATCCAGGCAGCCCATCCATGCCTGGTTCCCCTTTCTCTCCAATTCCAGCCTCTCCCTGCAACAGCATTGTGATAATCAGTGCAGATAAATTATAATCACAACTGCAGTCACCTCAGAAGACTTTACAAAATTGTCAATTTGCCAAAAGCTTAGAGAATCAAACAATTAGAACACAGGAAATGCAAAAATAAACAAAATTGCAGACATTTACCCTCTGTCCAGGAGGACCCTGTGGTCCAGGTTCACCGGGCTCTCCGTCCTCACCCTGACACACAATATCAAATATAAAAATAATAAAAAATATCAATGGTCAAATGTGAGCAATGATTGAGATGTTATTAAAACAGAAACAAAAAAAATTGAAAATAATGAAAGATAGAAACATACCGGCTTCCCAGGCATTCCAGCAGCTCCCTACACCAAAATGTAACGATATATGAATAAAATGTCATGGTTGTTTAAATGGGTTATCAGCATCAAGATTTCAAATACCTCAAAGCCATCGCGACCTGGAAAACCCTGAGGAGGAAAGAGAAAATACAGATTGTAATTGCAATACTGCCACTAGATGTCAGTGTGTGCCAAGACAAACTACAAAGGCGCTTGCTTAGACTGGGGGAAATTGTGAAAGTTTCAGTGAATTGAGGCAGATACGTTTGATCAAGGAAATGTACAGGAAAAATACGTCATTTCGGAACCCTTCTTCGGGACTGAAGATCTGACTTTCTATTCCCCATTACGGAATATTGGACAATAAGTCCACAAAGACATGCAGGTCACACCAGGTAACAGTTTGGCAGTAAAAATGCAGTTAATGGGGAAAACATAAAATAATCTGTATAGAAAAGTACTATCCTTTCCATGCTCTATAAAAATCTATGGAATAGTGCACCTACATGAATAATAACACGCAAAACTAAAAATAGCTTATATTTATATCAATATATTATTCTTTTTTCATGATATTATTTTCACATTCCTCAAAAGCCCTTCCACCCTTGAGAATAGCCACTGGTCGTCTCTAGTCTTTCCAGCTACAGTACTAACAGTGAGACAGCGCACCCTTTGGCAGCTGCCCATCACACATTTGTCTCGTTATAGGTAAACAGACACATTTGGAAGCTTGTGGAGACAAGGAGGAGTTGGAGCGGTCAAACATCTGCTATGAAGTCATTCTGCACAGCGGGATTATGGGATGCAAGCCCAGAGCACTATCAAGTAGTTGTGTTTATGCCATGAGTCAGATATTTAAAAAAAAAACATAGACAAAATTAGACACAATAGTGACAATCAATTCAAAACAGATATCTAATATGTTTTTAATGGGGAAAAAGTATTTGTATACAATAGAAAGCTGAAATCAGAGAATACCCGTCTCAGTGCATTTTACCATAGTTGTAGATTCAATTCTATTGTGCAAAACTGCTTAGACCATGGGTGTCAAAGTCAAGGTCCACGGGCCAGATTCGGCACGCAAATGTATTATCTTGGACCCCCGGATGATATTTGAGCAGTATTATAAACGGCCCAGACAGAGCCATAAGAAAATATTGGATTATTCATTTGATGCTTATATAGATTGAGAGCCAACTCCTCTCCCCATTGGTCCCCAGAAAATCTTCCCAGAGGTGATCATGCCAAGTGGAGGCCCTATTTTAAATATATTATGAGATTTCATAACACTTTGAAGCAACTTTTGTTAAAGTTAAACTCATCATTCTATCAATGTGCAGAAGCCAGTACTTTTCCCTTGTTTTGTCTATCTGAAGGCCAAGCTACAAGCACACCGTGGAAGCTGCTGATTGGAGGTCTCCATGCCTCCGCTCTGTATAATACACTTGCATTCTATTGTATCTGTGATCGTGTGCTTTGTTCGTGCTGTCTCTACCATCGACAATAAAACATGTCTTCTGTCGGAATGTAAGACACGATCCCAGACTATGTCATCTTCTTCAATATTAATATTTAGTAAAGGGCCAAGTGGTCCTGGTAATCATGACACACTATGAAATGTTGTGTATATATGTATAGTATCTTATTGTAGTTTATCTAATGTATGTATGTTTGTTTTTACCTGTATAACATGTATGAATGTATGGGACCAGCTCTCTCAAACTACAAGACAAATCTACCTCCAGGTACAGCTAAAGTAACATGAACCTGATCAAAAATATACATTTAAATAGATGCAGTTTACGTTTTTACCATGACCCATTTTTATTGTATTTGTTAATGACTGAATACAATGATGCAACTCACGTAAAATCCTTTAAAGGCTCGCATCAACACATTGGTCAGATAAATGTGTATCACTTTCTCCAGGACACAGACACATGCGCCCACAACGTGCCTCTGGGCTGCACTGGCTTTGTTGTGTTTTGCTGTTCTGTGTTGTTCTGCGAATGTCTTTAATCATGTCAGAGTTCTTATGTAATTGTTGAGGGACTGGCTTTCTTTTATCAATTTCTCTATTTAGTCATTTAGTTTCTGTCCAGTCTCACTTTGAAAGGAGCACTAATATGCAACACACCATAACCACAATCTGCAACTACAGTCGTATCTATAATAATCTTTCTGCTTTACTTTTAGTGCATCTTTGCCATTCGATTGTGAACGTAAATTTGTAATCATAAACAAAAGTAACACAGCTTTTTTTTTAATCCTCCCCAGCCTTGAACATGAGGCCTTCCCTGCATCTTGTCGCGTCTTCGCACCAACACGAGTACCGCAGGATATGAATAAAACAGTGGGAAGTCAATCTCTGATAGTAAAAGTGCCTAAGGCTTGGCTCGTCTATTGTTTGAACTGGAGCCTCGGCGACACAGACCTGCAGGAGGCCGACGGAGACAGCGCTGTGGCCACTTTCTCACACAAAACAGATGAGGAGTCAGAGGACACTGATGCTATTCTGGGAGAGATCTGGCGCGGACCTTGTGGACAGACATGATCATTGCAATTTGTTTGTTTTTGCGATTTCTGCTCATGTCTAAAAACAACATTTTAACCTGACAAAACGTACTCCCAAAACCAGGAACAATGGGTACATGAGCATCAAGGAGGAAAGGGCCAAATACAAAACAATAATTCTTTAAATATATTTGTGCATCTAGCTAAGGGTCAGATAAGGGCCTGTTCAGTCGTTAAATACATCAATGTATCGATTCACTTGCTCTGTTATTGTATGGATGGATGTGTTTCTGCTACTGGACACCTGAATGTCTCCTGCAGGGGATCAATAAGTATCTATCTATTTATCTATCTATCTATCTATTGGTCAATAAGTCTGGTGTACTTCTGGTGTGTAAGTCTTATTACCAGCACACACAAGATTTTATACGCCAGAAGTGATTTAGCAGAATATTTGAAAAGGCAATTTGCCCGAAGGAGAACTGAAATATTTCAAGAATAATGCAGAAACAGGTGAGGTGCAAATTAACTGGAGAACCGTTCCATTCACATGCACTGTCCCGTTCAAAATAAATAAATAGTAAACATATTCATAAAACTGTCACTATGAAGCCAGCTATTCCTATTAATTCAATATGTTTCATTCAAACATAGGAGTTTGTCAGTACTTTGTCACATTCTAATATTCTATGAAAATAGAAAATATATACATTATTCTCAGTATTAATTAACTTGCCTCTTTGAGTTAATGAAAGGACTTTTGGAAGTGATCCAAATCACTGTCTGGATACAGGATCTTTTAAAAGGAATGGATCTAGGCCTCTAGGCTGGGTCTGTGCTCTACGACTGCTTTTCTAGTTAGGGAAAGGGACTATAAGAACAGGTATGCACTGATACGTATAAATATATCGGTGCAAAACGTGTTGCATGAGGTATCTGTGCTGTGGATAAGCTGATGCCCTGAATGGGCTTTTCAATTGATGTAAAAAAGCCAGGCTGATATGAAGCCAAAACTTTAAAGTTTTGTGGGACAAATATCAGTTTATAAAGACATTTGAGCCTATTTCTTACAGTAGCTGTGATTTTAAGGAAATAAAAAGCAGTTTTAAGTCCGTTTACTATGATGGGTTCATATCGGGTACTGGCAGGAATTAAAAGACAAAACATCAAGATTAGCATTGGAAATAGAAACAGTAGATCAGTGCAACCCCTTTTTCAAACCATGTTTATTATTTTGTACATGGTTGTTTTAATATTTGATAGTTCGTACTGAAATTATGTTGTAAATAAGCAAATAAACAAACTAAAATCATGTCTTTTGGAGACAGAGTAACTTACTGCCTCTCCTGTCGGGCCACGGGGTCCGTCTTTGCCAGTGTTTCCTGGGGGGCCGCGGGGGCCAGGGGGGCCGGGGAGACCTGGGGCCCCTGGAGGTCCCGCCTGGCCCTGGTCACCCTGAGTGAAATAGAAAAAACAGGAAAAATTGTTATAAAATGCATTTTTTTGTGTCATTACGCTAAAATCCCTTTTCCATTTATCCAGGTTTTTACTGATTTTCAAAATTCGACTTCATTTGGGGAGATAATGTAACATAATGTTGTAATAATGTTGAATATATGGTCGTTTTGCAGCAACCATGAATGAATGTGTGAATACAAGCTGAACAATATGTCATCAATTACCAGTAACTGTATATGAACTAGTGAGTGTTTATAAACCCTTATAAATCTCCCTCTAATATTGTGTGTAGAAAACATGTGCAGAAAGTCCCTGCCGGCAGCTAAAGCTACACCAACTTGTTTCAGTGTAAATGACAGCTCCTCTGCCCCATCCTCACGCACATGTGGCACATGCGGTTCCCTTTGTTGTGGCTCTGTGCATGGCACCGCTGGCCCTTTCAAGAACATGATATTACTGAATCTTGGAAGAGCATCCCATAACAAGCTTCCCTTACACTGATAATTGTTATGTTTCTATTAAGTCCAGGCAGGAGCTAAACTGTCACCCACAAAGCCTGCGAACATTGGACACAGATGGAGAGAGCCACATGGAAGTACCAAACATCCTCTTATCTGATTATTTAAGCACACAAGCACAGACTCACACAAGTTATGAAACTGGAGAAATTAAGGAAAGGAAACTTCAAGGAGAATGAATGAAATTATAGATCGTTTTGAGTTCTTACACGTTTAAAGCTGGGTTCCTTAACTTTTGTTTCATAGATAATTAATATTGTTTGACATGGAACAGAGTCTTGAAAAAGTAAACCTTTTATATTTTGCGAATTGCTGATATGAAAAAGAGTGCCTTGTGAGTCACTATTTGTTGTTTTGGGATGACAGCTGATCCTCTCTTTTGAACTTTTATGTCTGAAAAAACCTGATATTAAGAATGTGTGAGAGGCCAAAAGAATACATGCATGTGAAAACTATAGAGCCAAACCGTTTTGAGAGAAAGGAACTTGTCTGACTTGTAACTAGTATTGTTTTTGTGTTTTAAAGTTCGGGAAAGCAATTTTTATTTTCCAGGCTTGGGACGAAAACAAGACTCACAATCACAGATCCAACTAACAATACAATATGAATGTTGATTGGTTGAATAATTTATTTTTGAATATAATTATAATTTGTTTTTAAAAAGCCGGTGCCAGTTTGCCGTTTTCTAGACTGCACGTATCTTCCTATCCCTTGCTTCTCCCGTTTGAGGTTAGATATGAAAAGGTCCCACATGCCTCAGGCCAGGTACCTTCAGAAATCGTCTCTGAAAGCTGCTGGCCTGTTCTCCAGCGATAAAGCCGTGGTCATGTCGAGGGAAGACCATCTGAAGACCAGTTCACAGACAGAAGAGAAGGAGGACAGGACAGGAAAGGCAAAGGTAAGAGGGAAAGTTTGGATATGTTTAGTACAGTGGATACACCAGGATTCGTGAAATCAAGGGGAAGGAGAACCAAGTCCCTGGAGAAAGTGGAAATTGAGTTGAAAAAAGGAGAGGAACAGAGTGTGGCAGGGGCGGCAGCAGGATCTGTGGGACAAACCTTCACGGTCAGAATCTGGTTACTCTGCAGATTGGCCAAGGTGCTGTAGTTTGGAGGACCCTGTGGATACATTAATGAGCACAACTTTAAGCTAAACAAAATCAACTATACAGGCAAACAATGCGCATGTTAGGTCCTTTTATGGAAGTCTCAGGTTTGTATCACAGTCTGCAGCCTTGAATCTCACCAGCAGGGGGCCTCATGAAGTGACATTTCCAGATAAACATTGAAAACTTTTGGAGACGGAATAAAGCTGATACAATTTTACTATTTGCAATTTTTGTTGGAAATAGAAAAATACTGCTTTCGAATCTGGAACTTGTTTGGTGCCATATGTTGAATGATTTAACAACGTCAAGTTTATTTCATGTCACGGGCTGAATTCATATAATAGGTGGTCAAGAGCTGGAAGTTTAGGCTATACTTTCATAAAAGCACAACCATGACAAGGTGTAGGTCAACCCAGTAACAATATATTTCTTCAAAAAAGATGCAAACGGTGGTATAAATGCAAAATTTATCAGACGATGGTGAAAAGATCCTTGTGGACTTTTGACTACAAAATTAATACTATATTAGTGCACATGTTGACACAAATAGCAAACAATTTTGTGAAATCAAAGCCTGTCTGAAAAACTCTACATTCAGATGACTTTTACAATGAAAGGATTTTCGAAACAACTCCTTTTTACACAATACAAATATTTGTCACTATCAAAGCCAGTCTTTTAAGCTTCTATATAAACAGTGGTGAGATCTGGAATGACTAATGCATAAAATCCATAAAAATCTAAAGCCGAGGTTGAAAATGCTCATGGGAGTTGGTCTTTGCGGCTCTTCCCTGGAGCGCTCAGGCCTCCTCTGCGCTCTTCTCTCTCTTCCTTCACTCATTCACACACTGTCTTCTCTGTCACGACCACTGATGCTCCTCCAACATCACAGGGGGTCTTTCCTGTGCTTTTGCAAGGGTTCAGTCACAGCGCTCAGTCAGACCAGGCAGAGGGAGCCCGCAGACAAGGTTTGGCTCCAGATAAAGCTTCAATCACGAGCCGTCTTCTAACTCAGAATTTTTGTATAGAACCAGAAATAAGCAAGTAAAGTAGGCTTTCAATACTGTGGTGCTGGTGACAGGGAAATGTTAAAAGGTGACTTAGAAAAGGCAGATCACAACACAACTTGTACAGCTTTAAGATAAATGGTTATATGTTTTGTTATCTTTTCCAATGTCTTAAACAAATCGGACAAAAAGCATCCGACTTTACGCAATCTGATCACTTTTTAATGTCTTTGTTTTCCTGTGCCTGATGGGTGAAGAAGACGGAAGGACAGGATATAAACAGCAGACTTATGCATGGGCACTTCCTGTTATCCTCCGTCCGACCCGGAGATATCGACTGAGTAAACACACATTTAGGACATCACATGTAACAATCATAATTTTTGTCATTTTATTACCAACCCTAATTCTGTGCGGTTTGAAGCTGCTATTTTGGCCTTGGTGCCGTTTAGGAAATAATCCGAATTTCTCAGCTAGAAAAAGTAGCCAAAGACATCAAAGTCCCTGACCCGGGTCCAAGGACAATATTTAGCGTTTGGACAGAGGCTGCAACACACTGGGCCAAAAGGATTTAACTCCTGCACAAACACTAAGCTAACGATGTAAAAGACTCCTCTGAAAGTTTAAAGGTTGTGTTTGAGAACCACATCATGAATCTGACCGGATCTGTCCATGTACTCAGCGTCAGTCCTCAGACGTTAGCATCAGGTGGCCCGCCAACTCAACATTGTGGTAACGTTTTAGCATGGTTAATTTTTTGGATTTATGACTTTGATGACAACAGAATCTTGTTCCTGCTGGTGCTTTGGGCCAGAGTGGTAGAACAAGTTGGCTTCACAAATTGGACTAATCAAAAGTTAAGGTTTTAGTTCTTGGGAAAATGTCTCATATTTATGGCCTTGGTTTGGCTGACACATCTGATTAAATAATACTCTGAGATTTGTGTATGAATACCTAAAGTGGCAAAGTACTATAATACAACATGAACATTTGATCATTGTATGACCACAAACAAGAAGTTCAGAGTCATGTGTGTCATGGTTGTATTTCTGAACCGAGGGCTCCTTGTTGGTTTATGTGGGCAGACGTGTGTTGGTAAGTTTGCAGTGGTGCCATACTAATGAATGAACTAATTGAACAGTGCTCCATGAGATGTTTAAAGTTTGGGAAATCTTTGTCTTAACTCTGAACTTCTCCATCACCCTATCACTCTCCTCTCTGGTGTGGTCCTTGGCCTTCATGATGCCATTTACCAAATGGATGGAATGGATGGATGGATAGCTGTCATTAAACTGAGAGTAAATCACACACAGGCGGGCTCTATTTAATCATTAGGGGAAAATGTGATCATACATCAATTGTTAGGGAATTCAAAGGCATGTGCAAGCCCCACTTGACAGTTTATATATGAAAAACAAAAAAGGGCATATTTTCACTTCACAGTTGTCTGTTACTGTCTGTTACCCCACACCCGTTGTGGTCCTTAAAACAATACAATCAAAACAAAAAATCTTATATCTCTCTTACATTAGACATTGTATTTTTACCACTGTACATTTTCAACTGAATTTCATCTATTTTCCATTATTATTAATCATTTGGCTGTTATTTGGTTAATGATATAAAACTCAGATACAGATTTGATACGACCCACTGCTTCAATCGCTTTTTATCATTAAACTATAACATATATTAACTAACAGTTATTTGACAGGACAGAAAACCCATTTGTCAGTGGCCAAACCACTAGGAGACTCATTTCCAACCACACTGAAAATGATAATTACGCTGATCTCTTGGGAGGATTAATATTACATGAAAATACCACTCCAAACCCAGTCTGCGGCACTGGAGGCTGCAGAACATGGTGTTTGGTTTTAGATGAAATGGCAGTCTTGGCTCACTGCCTTTGGCCAACTAGTCCTGATGGGGACGAGTATTCAGGTCTCTTTGGATATAATGTTCAGTGTGTGCGGCTTTGAAGTCTGTGGGCATTTAGCTTTTGGGCTAAAATCACTTTGAACGGTGTTTTTAATCAGTCCATAGTTACTGTGTGGTTGTAAATAGACGTTTTTCACACATCTGATAGAGTGGAAGCCCTTTCTCAACTGTTGGATGACAATATTGGCCTCATCTACAGTTGTTTGTTATGGCCTGCACAAGTTTTGGGTTCAGTTTAATTTCAATGTTGCTGACTCACTATTGGTCCTTGAAACCTTTAAACACATCTTCTTACACAGAAAGGTTGTAATTTATCACATTCCCTTGACCGTTAAGGAGTCATGGGGCTTGTGTAAACTCATTTTGGTCTCATGTTGCTCCAAGCCGCCTCATATACACTTGCAGTTTTACACTTGCATAAGTTTTGACCCCAAGAATTTCAAGTCATTTCAAGAACGTTGAACCAATAATGTTTTATAATGAGTATCAGATGTATTAAGTGGTTCCTATCTTTTTTACTTAAAGTCCCCAAATATTTGAACTGGAATCTTCAATCCTCCCGTTTGTTTTTTGACCCCTTGCCAATTTTGGCCCACACAAATGCATGAGAGTACATTTCTAACACACACACTTACTTCAGATATGGGGTCTCCAACATGTAGCTCGGGATAAACCAGTAGCTCACCACCCCCTTTCAGGTAGCTCCCCAAAGGATTTAGAAATGTACTATGTATGTAATGTGTAATTCACACGTTCACAACTATAGTAAATTCTTACTTTATGCAGCAGAAACAAATATGTCATAATGCATAATAATGACTGTTGATAATGAAAGTGCTGAATCTCAGGCTCTTACAAATAAAGCAACTAATTTTTCTAAGGACCGCTTAAGGTAGTAGCTCTCAGCCATTTTGTTGCAAGAAAGCCGCTCTCCAGGGTGAAAAGGTTGGAGACCCCTGATGTACAACTACTGTGATGCCATTCGCTGTTATATTAGTTTGACCAGTAAGAATGCAATAACCTTCACCAATCTCTGAAGCCTTCCCAGGCCACTGGTGTATTGTATAGTGGAGGTGTTTAAGGTACAAAGTATATCAAGTATTGTTGTGCCTTTTATTGTTCACTTTCGGTCAAACAAAAGAACAAAATGTCTTACCCTTGGCCCCACATCTCCTCTGTCGCCCTGCAAGAGAAACAGGAAAATAGCCTTTGTCAGCCCTCAACACTGTGTGGAACTTATAGGCGTGCACTGCTCCTGTTTGTCCATAGTGGAGGCCTCTACCCCACAGTAAGAAAAGCATATGGATGGGAAGGAAATAACACTGGCGTCATCTGTGCTCACGGTGCATATGTGGACAGCTACTGCATAAATCACTTTGTATCTTCTACAATCACAATGATCTGACACGGGTGCTGTGTATAGTGCATGTCCTCATCTCTGGAAACTACCTGAGCGAAGAATCCCAATCTATGCATAGTCTGTCATTTACAATCCAACGTCATCAGACTGGCCACTGCTTTTGACAGACGATATTCACTGGAGCTCTTATCGGAAACCTCTCTGCGCTTGAGTGCTGCAGCAGATGACCACATCCACGCTGTCAGGACCAACAGTTGCAGACATCTTGGACTGATAAAAAAATGGAACATCTGGCTACCATTGAATGCTTTGGAAGGCCTTTTAACCTGTTTATGCCCCTGACGTGAGAAAGTGAGTGGAAATAATTGACAGTTGTGTGTGGTTGTATAGGAAGTACATATGCATACAATATTCAGTTGGTATTATACTAATGGTAAGAGCAGGATTATTATTATCATCATAATTATGTTTACATATTATTCAAGGTCACTTTCAGATCTTCTTTTTAACCGTGTAGTAAAGCCAAACATTATTTTGATGGACAACAATCTAAAAAGCTGTATGTGTATATAATTGACATCTTAAGCTACTGTACGGAGCAAACCATTTTAAAAAATCTATTCTCACCTCAAATGTATGCCTCCTCAGCGTGTTTTAGGTGGAGACGACCAAGGATTATCTTTGCATTGGAATGAGTCTAATAATACGTGTCAGACATACAGTATGCACCCCTAGAAGATGATTTGATATTTGTCCTTAAAGTTAACATTCATCTCAATGTATAAATTATATGACTTATTAGAGTAAAGATACTCCTATAATCATCTATTTGTTTGAACAGAAAATGAGAAAACCTAAAGAAGTGGACAGATGTACTAATGTAAAGCAGAAATCCCTCTATACAGTGTAGAGGTTTCTAAATGCCATACCTTTTCTCCCTTGGGCCCAGCTGGTCCCTGCAGGAGGAAACAGATAACAGGAGACAGTTGGTGGTCATAAATCAGGTGTGGTATAAGTGACATGTAGCATCATTCAGATTTCAGCAAGTGTTAATGGTAAGAGCGGTACTTTAAGCACAGTGACTAAAGCACGGCCTCACAGTCAGACACGGATGCTTTAAAGACCTAAGGAGGACTATGCTACTTGTATCCATGGGGCAAGGTTATTCATCAATCAAAACTTATTAATTGGACTTTTGGACTTGGTCAATTCTCTCAAACAATTTGAAAACCTATGGACAAGTAAGAAGTTATTTATGAGCATGTTTATTGATACATTGTCTGTTTAATATAGCTTTTGGTGCATTTATGTGCTCTGTGAACTGGTAATTATGAGTAGATTGTTCAAGCGCTTTTGTCATAGTAAAAGAAAACATGGCAGCATATGGATAAAACTACCACAACATCATGCCGTCATTTGAATCTTTCACATACAATTCTGTGAGGAAATGAGCAGCCTATGAAAGCCTACCCTCGAAAAACGATTTGTTATAAAAACCAGAAAACTGTATTGCTCCATTTCGACCGGCCCTACTAGGCCTTATTCTACTCGGCTTTACTCTACCCCATTCTAGAGTGTTTCCACCAGCCCTGCTAACCAGTACCAGGTACTTGTTTATACATGCTTGGCCCTGGTTCTATCCAGGCTGAGCTGGTACTATAGTCCTTTAACTGCCAGTGATTGGCCAGAGTGCTGCCGGAAGCCATGGTTACCAAGGAATTTCCCCTGGTACTGGTTTGTTGTGTGTAAGCTGCAGGGATACAGTACCAGACACTTAAGTTTAATGTATCTGGTAACAGATCCCTGCGTAAAATTTCCACCATTTTGAAGGTCAAAGTCTTTCTGTCTACAGCTGAAAATGATCTCCAAGTCAAAATACAGGATAAGATGCCGTTCATTCACGATTACCCACTTGGAAAGTCATATTTCCCATATTTCCCAGAGCACATAAAGGCACCATGGGTGAAGGCAAAAAGCAACTAACAGACGTAATGGTTTTCTCAGAATCGGCCGGAGACAGACAAGTGACAACATGAGTGAATGTTATTTCAAAGGTGCTCTAGTGAACACATCATAAATGATGCAATAATAACTCATTACTGTCATGGTTTGACCCTGCAGCACGTCTCTATTCTCTCAGCTGTCAGTTTGTTTTAGATATTCTCCCTTTACACTTTCCCAAACTTCTGACACTGGGTGGCTTCTGCCCTCCTTCCATCTCTAAATCTTCCATAGTCTGCTCTGTATAATGCGTGGCTCTCTCGTCTCCTCACACCGTGTCTGTCTGGTCACTGCTCCCAGTGCAGTGGAGCTCTGATTTGTGTTTGGGACATGAGGAGGACAAATAATGTACGAAAATAAGCACTTTGTTAATGGGACAGACTGCTCGATGACAGCCGCAGAAATATGGAAAACATTTCTGGCAGATAAATAGACAAAGCAATAAATGAACTGCATCGTGAGAATGTGTTTGTTTCTGAACAAAAGTGGTTATTTACAGAGGGCAACAGTTGGCAGCACTATCTCGTCTGAACTAAATCTGTTTTGCATGTACTAACGAGATGAAAGTGAACAGGTTTATTCAAGTTCACCATGTTCTATCTCGTTCACTCGACATGTTTTATTTTTCACCCAATATTCTAATTTCCTGAGCTCTATTAAAATCCATATAACTAGTTTCTTGCTCTAAAAACCTTTTGGTTCTAGCACTAGTTTTTACATCAGTGTATTTTTGGACACACCTTAAGATCAGAGGAGAAAAGAGGACCACCCTCAATCAGCTATCAGTATGTTAGATACAGTAAAGCATGCGGTCTGATTTGTTCACAAAATGTTACTTAAACCAGACTCTTTCTGTCGAGATAGACAAAATGTACTTATGTAACACAAAGAAGGTAAGGTACTCCAGCTTTAACCTCACAAACAGCTTTCAAAAGTCAGATAATCACATTAAGACTGTTCTGTGAGAGACAGTACTTCTGCTCTCCCATCGCTCCCAGTGGAACAGTTAAAAAGATTAATGAGATGGCGCTAACTAGCACCTGGACACTTACTCACAGGGACTTTATGAATGAAACTGATACAAGCTGCTTAATAAAAGTAACAGGTGTTGAACGGCCTACCTGACTCCCCTTAAGACCTGGAAGACCCTGAAACAAGAACAAAGAGTGAGGGGAGAAGATGACACTTGAATGAGCTCAGTTGTGTGAACACTCACTGGTTTCCCATCCAGCCCGAGAGGACCCTGTTTGGGGCAAATAAACAGAGATTATGTGACCGAAAAACATTGCATTGAATTTCATCATATTCAAACACTGTATATTAGCGATAACTGGTATTTAATATTCTCTGTATTTGAGTAATGTTCAGCTGTGAGACAAAAGTTCAGTCAAAAGCAGAGAAACATAAGCTGTTAATGTTTGAGAGGAGAGAGGTTTTAGACAGAGACTGGCTGTGATGGATTTGTGCGGGGCCCATGTGTTCAGGCCTTTGCAGTCAGGGTTTGTTGTCAGTGTTTACATCCAGAGGAGAGCTCCAAAACGTTCTGACTCAAAGCTTGTGAATCTGCACTCATAAACATTACTTACTCCAGTAACTCCATAATGTTTACATCAATAGCAACAGACCACTTCTACATCCCACAGAAAAGTTGCATATAAAGTTAAACATGCAGTTACTGGGCTCAGACTACACTGGGATGTATCACAGACAGTTGTAGTAGTAGTAAGATGTTTTATTTTAAACAATATGCTAATGAAAGTATAAACAATAAACAAGATACAAACTGAGAGCAAGACACAAAATTAACAGAAAGAAACGGTCCAGGATGGACGAAGCAGACGCCTTTTTGGCTCCAATTTGGTTTCAACCCTTCTCACTGAATCAGGGACTATAATATATGATTTAATTATTAGTTTTGCAGAGGTTGTGTGAGGTGGGATCACGATAGTCCAGGGGCCGACAACCCGGAGCTTCATAATGAGATTTAACACTATTATCCATATTAATGCAAATTTGACAGAGCTGAAGTTTGAATGAAAGATGTTTACCGTTTTTTTTGCAAGATACATTTGTTCCTCAATCACATAATAAATGTAAGTTTAGTCAAACAAAGTCAACATCCGTAATCAAGAGGTTTTCAGGGCTTTACAACAAGGTGCAGCGTATAGTGGCGGAGGTGAAGTTTGTGTTGATCTTTGGGTTAGCAAGGAAGAGGGCCACATCACATGAAACTGAGGGCTGGACTTTGGACATGCCTGACCTAAATTAACATAAACATTTGAGATAAAACTATACAGAACACAATGAAACTGAAGTGTCCTCCATAATAAGCATACTTGATGTACAACTAACATTTTGTACAAAGTCTTTTGAGTGGTTGCTCAATGGTTGCCGTGGTGATGGCTGGAAACCATCATTAACAATAATCCTCTCTGGTCCATGACAGCTTACATAAATCTTCTGAATCCAGCCCACCTCTTAACCAGCCCCATGGGTAAAATACAGTCTACAAGTCCCTCGCCGAACCTCCAACCTCAGGATTAGAGCTTTGATGAACAGACAAACGGTGAGTACGGAGTCAGAAAGGAAAGTACTGATTTACTCAAGTGGTCATGGTCTTCAGGGTCTAGTTAAGAATCGTGTCTTTGAACCAGATTTACGCTCCTCTTTCAACAATTCTAAAGCCACACAAACACTTGAACACTACTGTCACTAAATTAGAGCTTCCAAAGCCAGGAACACTGGTTCATGTGTGACTGAATAATTGGGTCGTTTCATTTACTTCAAAGCAGCACTGCTTGTGTACAAGTCTCTCCACGGCCTCGCACCACAGTACTTAAGCGACTTGTTAGTGCCATATGAACCGGCCCAGACTCTGAGGAGCACAGGAGGTAGCCTCTTACTGGTTCCAAGAGTCAGAACTAAACATGGGGAGGCAGCGTTTGAGATTTATGCAGCCAAAATCTGGAACAATCTTCCTGAAGATGTGAGGCTAGCATCTTCTCTGGCAATTTTCAAATCAGGGTTAAAAACTGTTCTTTTTAGCTGTGCATACGACTGAAGGATTTTATTGATACATACTCTTTTTTTAATGCATTGTGGTTATTTATTATTTTAATCCCGTGTGTGCTTTTAATGTTTTAAGGTTTTTTAATTATTTGTGATTTTATTCTGTTTTTAATGTATTTATTGTTTGTATATGTAGATTTTGATGTTTCTGATTTGTCTGATATTATGTGGGTTGTGAGGCGCTTTGAGTGGCCTTGTGTTGGAAAGGCGCCATACAAATAAAGTTGATTGATTGATTGATTTAATTTAGTATTGTGTTATCGCCCAAAGAATGTACCAGTATTTAACATGGTCAAAACACTCACACACTCATAAACTATATATTCTGTCCTCTACACTCTCGAAAAACTGTTTGAGGAAAGGACTACGTCATGTGCCAAGAGCCATCAAAAGCTCCTTAGCAACGGTTGTCATGAGCAAATTAAAGAAACCCACATAGAGGACTCATGAATTTTAATCCAATAATAAATATTTAGCATATTCAGCAACTTAATTCAACATCCTGCTCTATAATGGATCTTTAAAAGTATGTTTTTAATCCAAAATGTTAATAAAATGTTTGTGTGTTGCTATGGTGACCCCCCAGGCGGAGTGACAAGGAACCTACAGTTTAAACAGGATTAATTAATAGTATTTTGCATTGGAATCCTTTCTGATCATGGTATGAACCTATTGCTATTTATTTAAAACTGATGAGAAAGTCCTTGTGTGGTGAATTCTGAAGAGAAACAGTCTGGGGTCAGGGCTGAACTCAGATTTACAAACTTTAAAAAGCCACACGACATCTTGCCAACTCTATGTACTCTTCCTGTGCTTTGCTGATTCAAACCACAATACAGGCCCTTTGATAAATGATAACGTGTTGCTTTAAATATAGAAGCCTTCTGTAAATCAGCAGCAGAGGTCATTTCTGATGTTTTAATGGAAGCACACTCGACAAAACCCCTTCAGATACGAAAACAAAGACATGCCATTGGACTGAAGCCTAATTTGATTTGTCTTTGCCTGCATTGTTGAGGCATCCTGTGGAATACAACAGATTTGAGTAAAAATAGCATACATCAAAACAATTTCCAATAATCCGTATCAGAAACATGTATTAGACCACATTGCGATGAGTGCAGTTGTGGTATTCTCGTCACACCCAGGTTTTTCAGTCCACATCAGTCTGAACAACAAGTCTGCATCAAAAAAATGTGTCCAATTATCTGCATTCGAATCCAAAACGTTGAGATGAATCAGGACTGACACGTTGGGCTAACACAACTCTGCAAGCTGAATGTGTTCTGTAATGTTTGAAATGTTGTTGGGAGCGGAAATCACTGGATTCATGAGAGCATGTGTCAAATCTTATCACTTTGTTTCAGCAAAAATTATATGGAATCTGTGTTAAAATGTTGTTATTACTCAATGTTGAATGTGGACCGTATTGCAAAACCCCTAATATCCCTCTTAACTACTGTAGCTCCTCCGTCTCATGTCATGTTCACAATGTGATATAGAAATTATATCTTCAGGAGAAAATATGGTGATCAAGTAACATACCTAAATAGGTATTTCCCCATAGACCTGATGTTAACTAAAATGACCTGTCTTCACCTGACAGGGAACCTGCAGCTTCCACAAAGGTTGGATTCCTTTGCCATTGTGAACTTTACAAATCGGTTTTCTATGAATCCACACTTTTTTGCAACAACCTCTGCTCGCTCTCGTCCCTCTCGAAATCAGCTGGTCTTGCAGAAGTAGAAGGCACCTTCTGCGCAAGGCCGAGGGTTGACCAACAATGTGTCACTTCTGCCAATATTTCAGAGCATGCCCTAATGAGCACAGAACATTGATTTGAAAGTAAGGGATGCACTGATACCGATACTGGTATCGGGTCAATACCATAGGCTTTTACTCGTACTCATACCATAGGACCTGATCCAGGGAACCATGGGACCTGATCCAGGGAACCATGGGACCTGATCCAGGGAACCATGGGACCTGATCCAGGGAACCATGGGACCTGATCCAGGGAACCATGGGACCTGATCCAGGGAACCATGGGACCTGATCCAGGGAACCATGGGACCTGATTCAGGGAACCATGGGACCTGATTCAGGGAACCGATACCCACATTTTAAATTTATATTAGTGTCACGACAGCACGTGTTGCAATGGTGATCTCACAAAGTCTGCAGCAAGAAAGCGTGTACTGCTAGCTTAGCGACAAGCTAGTGGCAAGCTAGCAGCAAGCGGATGCCGGCCATAGAGCAGCTTTTTAGATAAGTAAACAAGTAAAGCGGACAACACGTTGTTTAAGGAAAAACTGTTAGAGGTGAGTCCAAAACAAAGACCTACATAACACCTTTGCTAGCACCGGAGCTATTTGTTTTGTAGCATTTGTGTGAGTGAAATATGACAGTGGCTTCTATTGTTGACTGTTAAAACAATTGCTAAAATTATAAATTTTTTAAGCATTTTCTTATTGTTGAAATGAGAAATAATATTTTTTTATGAATTCCCAGGGATAAAACAATGCTGTACTCGTATCGTTCTCTTAGTAGGTAATCGGTCTTGAAAAAAGTGGTATAGGTGCATTTGAGAGGACAGACATCTTTGGCAAACACTGCCATGCGATGGCAAAGAGGTTATATAGCCGTAACATATTCAAACATACTTTTGCTTTGAAAGGAATAAAACTGCAGTGAGTGTGATGAGTAGTGGAACAATGACATCATAAAGAAGTTCCTGATCTGCTTTCTGTTGGGACAAATATGAAACCACAAAGAGGCCAGGTACTGCTCTGGTTTATCTGAATGCCCACAGCATGGCTTTAAATATTCCACTTACACTGGAGACACGCAATGGACTTATATACACTCTGCGTGTACACAAAATATGTAGAAAGCTCAATGCAATATTTAGCATTTGTAAAGCAATCTTGGTGGGAAAAGTTGACTGTGACTTTCTACTGCACCATCCAAAGCACAAAGAAAATGCCAGACTCAGCATTTTCCAACTAAAACACAGTCTTAAACACATATTTGGAAAATGTGTGTCTGCGAGTGTGTGAACCCCTGTCCTGTAATGGGCCGAGGTGTGCCGGTGCTGTGCTAATTACTTGTAATCGTGTGTCCCGCGGAGCAGACTTGTAATGAAGCAGTTAGAGCATAATTGTTGAGGATGCA